AAAAAAAACAACAACAACTTCACAGTCCAATTACAATCCAATTCTAAATGCTTTCTCAAGTTGAATGGAGAATAATGTATCTCTTTGCATTTTCTGTCTTCATGGGATATTGCATTCCTTTAACAAATTCAGGCCGTTTTTACATTACACATGCAAGCAAACTAAAATATGAATACACTTTACATATGCATTTTTGTAAAATGGCCGAATAGAGGAGTCACATATTTTTATTGTTGTAGACCCTTGAAAGAAAGCAGAGAAAATCAAAGTGTGAACGAATTGCCTGCGTCTGTGTCTGACCATTGTTACTATGGTTTCCACTCAAGCTATGTCATGAGTTTTGATGCAAATTATTCTTCTACGTAAGAGAAACATCATCAAACTAAAAATCGTACGATGAGTTACAATATTTGAATGGATAAGTCATAATAAACCGTAATTCTCAACTCAATCTGGAATCGTGCTAGCTCTTTGATGTTCTGACATTTAGTTCTAGAGTTTTAGTTTTTTTTAAAGTTACATATTAATGCTATTTTGCCATATTTACATGTTACCAGTAAAGAGTGTAATCAGTTTTGGAGAATCAAGAGAAACCAATACAAACAGCCCTAAAGTAAAATGACTCCTTCTACTGGTTAGGCCCAGAACATCAGAGTAAATAAAGATTTCTGTTGTCATGCATGTTCGCATAATTAAAACCTCAGAATCTACATTGTGTACAAATAATAGGTAACACAATATCAACTCAGGAGGGAGTGCTCTTGACCATCCTATGGGTCAAGGATTTCCTCAAACCATGTGAAGGCCTCCAGATGCAAGATACCAAGCAATACAAATCAGAAATAATCAAACTGATAATTGTTATGATATGAAATATCACAGCACATGTCAGGCTGAAATGTAGGTGCTGCAACTACATCATAAAGAAAGCAAAGCCGAAATGTCAAATGCCTATAATACATAAAATATTAATACCCTCCCTCTACATTACATAAGAAGAGATATTGGGAAATTTATGTGAGCTGAGGTATCAAAATGTAATGTTTTCAGTTCCTGCCTCATACTCTTTGCACATTCACCCTCGCACTGCATGTTGTTCAATACTCATATCGAGAATTATATACGTATACACAGGTTTTTATAATGTATAGCTGGCGTCGGTTCTCTATCTAGGACAATGTGTGTTTATTTTCTCGTGTATTCGTCAGAATACAACATGTGTTGCACTGAAATAAATGCCATTGTCTGACCATAAGATTCCTTAAAGAGGAATTAACTGACTCTGACCTTGACAATTAATTACATTAGAGAAGGTCGCCATCCAAACGGGTGAGATGGTTAAGATAACCATGTAATCTGACTTAGTTACCTCTGACGGTAAAGCTAACAGCATAACCTGTGATAGATCTGTGATAGATCATCTTACAAAATCATTGTGATTCTGTAGACCTTGTTTAATTGCAATTTAGCATTTTTCATTCGGTCAAATATAATCAATTGCGAACCAACTGACAAACTCTTTAAAAGTCTCTGGCAGTGGCATGTGAGCATTACGTCTGAAGCACTATGAGGGTTTGATGTTTCCAAAATAAACAGCACACAATGCCTGCTTTTGATCCACCAATCACTATATTCCTAAGATCATGATTTATTTGTTATCCTTTGGTTGCATTTATCATTTCCATCTCACCAAAAATAGACAAAAGAATATCTTTAACGTTTAAAAAAAACTTTAGTAAACATTAAGAATAGGAATATTATAATAACTAATATTATAGAAGCTGCCACTATCCCAAAGTCTATATGAATTAATATACCGCATCTATCACAAGCAAAAAAAATAAAAATAATAATCATGCACAGACATTAAAAACCACTGTATCATTAAACATCCACAAACAATATTCAAAGGTCATGGAGCATGCATGTAACAACAACAACAAAAAAAGTGTATTATGATCATAACCTCTTAACTGCTACAATAATAACTATATATAAGTAACAATCAGATCAATAATCACATCACTCTTTAGTGCAAAAACAAATAAATTAAAAAAGCAAAAAAGTTAAGTAAAAAAAAATACAGGCTTACATATTAATATTAATGTTTGGGAAAAGCTCCTGCAGAAACAATACATTTTTGTTCCAGAGTTCTCTTAGTTAGCCTACGGTTTATATGATCTAACAATACTTTAATGTAGTACCTCAATACTTTAAAAAGAAGCATGCATCCACTCAAGAATGACCAGCTCTCACAGGTACGTCCAGGTAGCCTACATAACGTCTTAAAAATGTACAGACAAAAGTCTCACATATTTCCAAGCATCACATAAGCTAACCCCATAACTCACGAGCAAGCAGAAAAATCTCGTTTGATATACGAGCATATACAGAGAAACAGTGCGACTGCTGAGACTCCCAGAACGTGGATTTGCAACACATTCAAGGAAAATTAAAAAAGTTTATTTTCGGTTTTGGTGTCCACAGTCGTGAACTAACGCAAAACATACATCTCAAGGTCTTGTTCGCATATAAAGCCACTTTAAAGTCGGTCAAACATGCAGCAAAGGCCCTCCTCCCGATCCTAGCTACTGTCCAAATCAGCCATAAAACTACACACGTTTTAATAGATACACATAGGCTACAGCACGCGACTAAAACAGATTTAAATGGAATTAAACAGGTGCACAAGAATAAGCAAGAACGTGTTAAAATGTAACAGTCGTGTAGCTACATGTGGAGAAAATGCTTGATTCACAAACTAATATACAACTTGTATTTCAATTAAATGTGCTGACCAAAATGAAAAGTATTTGCCATAAATATAGAAAGAGTGCATTTACTCGACGTTAACTTACTTGCAGACCCACGAAGAATTTATAAAACAGTTCTATGAAAAGTAGGCCGGTGATCAGCAAAAAAAAAAGTGCAGAAAATATCGTTTCTGGCATAGCCTAGGCTATAAGTTAAAAAATAACTGGAGAATGCTATAATATTTTACGATGGTTTCTAGTAAGACTGCCTTACGCGAATGCATGCCCAGCCTACACATCTTATCCTATAGGCACGTGCAAGTGTCTGAAACACAAAGAAATGCAAAGAGAGAGACTGAAGTTTTCATCGTGAAACTACATTTAACGGGGATTGAAGTAGGCTAAAGACAAGAGCTGTTATGCAGACATCCACAGCTTTAGGAGACAGAGGTCATGACTGAGAGCTACCAAATCCTAAAATCATCTTACTTCATAAGAGCCTAATAATATGCTTGTATACGCCAGCACGTCACTTAAGAAAAAAATCCTTAACGTTTAATGAAGTAATATTTGGCTACTGATTTTTTATCAATAAGTCAGACTTCCAAGGCCGAAGCGTCTGAGAGCGGTCAGCAAATCCCCCAAAATACAAATGCAATTCTAACAAGCATGCACACTGCTAAATAAAACGAGCTAACTGCATTTCGCTTAGGCTATATCGTAAAATAACAAGGTTTTCCTTCATTCAGCTCACTCGTTCAGATAAAACACCCCAGTAATAAAAGCAGCCAACATCGACTAGAATCTCCCCACATAAATGACATCCTTTTCATGCCGCTTGCTATAAATAAACAGATTATATAAGACAGACATTTTATAATACAGCGTCGGGAAACAGAGTGCATATGATAAATTAATGAAAATGTTTTTTTCCACTACGGGCCAATGCCATGGCTCTCATGCCCGCCGTCTCGTGCTTCAGATAACAATGCAATCAGCGTTGCATCCAAAAACTGAAGACGAGCTCCTCTGTGTTTTGCCATATTAAGTTTTTTGGTGTGTGTGTGTGTGTGTGTGTGTTAAAATGGCCGAGTGATTTATTGTTCGCTTGTAACGCGTGCGTTACAGGCAACAAGCTGGCACTTCACAACACGGAGTCAAAATGAGGTCATTCATAAGTACAGGCATTAGTATACGGAACAGATGGCCATTTATCTTTTTGTAACTAAAACTGCATTTCGGCTTCTCCGCGTACTTGGAGCGAGGGCTAAGATTGCTGCGTATCCCCATTTAATGATGACAAATAACGGAGAGGGTGAAGCGCCAGACACACTCCCTGCTACAAAACTCCACAGCTTCGCTCAGAATGTGTCCGCGCAAAACAGCGACATACGCAACATCCCGAGCGCAGAGGCTAGCGCGCAAATCTACCGTGCTCGATCAAATATTAGCAATGGCCCGGAAGACACTAGGCGGCTGAAACCTTCATGTCATCAGAACATTTGTTACTGTAGCGCCGACGGCCTTTAATCGGTGATACTTGACACTTAACACACGGTTAGAGCGCTGATATTTAGCTCGTGCGTACGGAAGTCCCTAGCGGCTCCGCTGGCTCGTATTGTGCCTTTCGTGTCACGGTTCAGTGTTGCGTTGAGTGTTTCGCTAATGATTAAAATACCCCGTGAAATAATACAACTTGCAAAAACTACAGACAAAGTCCTCGTAGCCTGACAACTGTTCGGCTACTTTCTAGAAAAAGAGTGCTCAAGCAGGGAATTACATGGGCATTTTCCCTGAGACGTCACTTCAGCCTAGCACGAGTCTTTATGGTTTAATTTCAGACAAACGTTGGCTGTTCTGACTGAGAGAACTGTACCAACTAAATGTCATTTCACAAGTTTTCCGTATCTTCTTCAAAGCCGCCTTATCTATAGCTTATAGATGGACAAAGACTAAAGTCTTGCGCTTGAGTTATTAGTATTGTAAGTTTTTTCCCCCAGCTCGTAGCACGGGGATGACTGCTATTGCTCTTATAAATAGCCTAACATAAATAATGTAAGTACCCTCTCTCTCCCTGGTTCTTACCTGCTGCTTTAAGGGTCTTTCTTCTCCAGTGGCTACAGCGCTTCACAGCTTCCCCGGTTTTCCCCAGGCAAGGACTGAGTTTATTAATATTGTCCCTTACTTTGTTTCATTTCTCACTTCCATCTTCTTTCATCTCATCAATAAACACACGCTGCAGCCTACCTTCGGAGAGGACATCACGCAGCTCACTCGTGCCCTCCCATTTTTTCACCATTCGTCGAAGATTTTGGGCAGCCACGCCTTTCTGCTGGCGATTGGAACAGAATGGACTCTCGTGAAGCACGTAGGTTGTGATATAAATCGTTCAAAATGACTTTACCCCAATCGGCGAGCCGCACGCCCTCCCTTCCGCGCGGCGAGGAGCGCTGAAACTGGCTCCATTGTGGCTCTGAAAGTGAAACTGTTTTGGCTCGTCGCAATTGTTGTGTTTGAACCAGCATGGGCTCTGTGCATCCTCAGTTTCTTAATTCTCGGTGCACCGTATTTCGATGCGCTTGTCGCGGTCCCCTTTCGAGGACTTTCGGCTTTTACGCGTTGCTTCTTGAGCATGAACGAATGCACGCATTAGCTACCTCGACATGAATGTTATTATAGGTGTTACATGCGCGCATGATTCAACTCCCTGAAATCTATGTCCCTTCCTCGATCAAAGGCCAGCCATCCGAGAATCCTGCATGGTGATCATTTATAGATAGCCTGCTTTAGATTGGTTCGGGGCGATGTCAATACAGTTCTCCCAATTAGATCTGCTCCCACATTGGATGATGACGGTGTCCGTCAGTCCGATGACCAACAAGCTAGACCGTGCCTTTTACTTTCTACGCATTTCTATTTTCTCATTTATTTATTTTTTAACGTCCCCAGCTGACCTCAAGGAAACGTAAGGAGAGTTGCTGACGGGACTGCCGGCCAATCAGATCGTGAAAAGTGACACAGGACTTTTTTGTTCACCAATACGTTCACGGAGCCGTTGTGACTGACACAAAATAATGCAATAGTGGCTCACGAGTCGCCAGCCACACCGAGCACCCCCTCCCCGACTCCCCCCAGTCTAGACAATGACAGGTGTGTGTGTGTGTGTGTCTGTGTGTGTGTGAGTGTGTGTGTATGTGTGTGTGTGTGTGTGTGCGCGCGCGCACGGCCGTCTGTAGTCTAGACGAGGAATAATCAACCTTCCCTTTGAGCCCAAGTGATTTTTTTTCAAGCGCTGTTCTTGTTGAAATGTGTGTTTATAAATACATGCATACATACAAATATATATATATACACACACGATTGATTGATCTTAGTGCTATGACAGCAGTGAACAGTTATTAACATCTTGAATATTGTGTTTGAATATCGGCAGCGATATAATGATCCTTTTAATGCGTCCCACTAAGATTTCGTGATGTCAAAAGTCCAACGAGACATATTTACAAACAGCAAACCATTTCTAGCCTACGCATTCTGTTTATTGTTTTGCTAAATAAGGCTTGGCTCGCGTAAATATTTCGTCACATGTAACAATCCCTCTCCTCCGTTCATTCACATCATTCCTCAGAAATGAGGTTTCCGGTTGGGTTGCACGCTTTTCTTGACGCTGAGCTCCTCCTTTCGGTTACAGACACGAACAGCAGCGTTTTACCGAGAGGTTCACCGGGGGACACGCACACCGTCTGCCCTACATAGAATGCACTCATTGTAGGCCGGGGTGTCAGCTGAGGACGACTTGCAACCTAGAAACGGCGCGTAGGCCCCTCCTTCCCTTTGTCAGGCGCATTGCAAACGTTAGCCCGAGGTCTTCTGAGGTGTTCTTTTTTTCTCCCCCGAAAATAGCTCGTAAAATTGGCATGCATTTTCAGCAACCCCTGGCTGTCGAGGCCCCTCGCGATTCTTCATCATCATCCGAGCCCTTTGTGTAGAGTTGCTAGGGGTTACAGTGTGACATTTCATTTCAAACAGTCCTGCTCTCGATGCATGCGAGTCCCATTTCTGCATGCACACAAAACGGGCTAAACGGCGGTAATGCGCCTTTCTTAAAGAGCGAACGCTTAAATCTACGATGCTTCGCAGAAGTACACTTCGCAACTTACTTTTTGCACGTGTGGGTTTTAGTAGCCTACTACAGCAACATAAACTTAGTGCGATGGCAGATTCTGGTTTATCAGAAAAACTGCTCATCACCGAGAGTGCGGAGACCTCGCGCCCTTCCTCGGTGTTCACGGAGCCTTACGCGCGCGCTATTAACTATATGGAGACTCACAATATTCTTCAGATCTTTCAGGTGAGAAAGAACACAGCTGCAGCCACTGGTATCTATTCGTACGAAGAAAATGGTAGACAGTGATGAATTGCTTTGCACAAAATGGCGAAGGACAATTCAGAGCACTAAAACAGAGAAACAGTTCCCCAAAACAGAGAAAGCGCAGCGTGTTAATATCGCAGTATTCTGCTTTATTTAATAAAGAGCTGCATATTGTTTTAGGAGCATTACGAAAACAACAAAATAGAGCTCTGACTGACTACCAATGTCATTTTAGCAGCAGATATGACACACTGTGTTGCTTGAGACATCCAGGACAAGACTGTTCATTGTGCTTTTCTCATTTGTGCTATTTCAGGACATCACAGAGAAACTGGTTTTTGATAGACCAGGTGATCCACTTCAGTTCATGTTAGAACAGGTATTTGTTTTTACTTTTCATATCATCTATCAAGTGTGTTATATAGATCTATATAGATTTGTTTCAGACAAACATCATACGTTTCTCTGGGATATTTCTTGATGGCAGTACATTTAAGAAGGATACGAGCTGATCTTGTTAAATATATTGCATACTGTAGTCCCCGTCATTTAACTTGGCCCTATAAACATGATTACTATTTTTTTTGTGGAATAGTTGTAAACCATTCTAATCACAACTGACTCTACAAAAACTTTTGCAGGTACAAATGAAGATCAAAATCCGTGATGAGTCAAGCAACACTTTTGTGAAATCATAACGAATTCTAAAGCAACAAGGGCTTTGCAACAAATTGAATACAAGTTTCTGCTTCTATTTCTTTAAATGAGGTGTATTGGTTGCTGCAGGTCATTCCGTGACTCTGCATTGTTGTCTCCAAGCAACTGTCTTATTTATTTATTTTTAACATCTCCAAATGTATCGTGTTTTACCACAGTTTTTGGAAGACACTATTTGCATTCATTCTCAGTCAAACAGCTCTGAAATCTTAATAATGTAGTTCGTGAGTGTCTTTGACATAAATATCTCAATGAACACACTCAAGTGGCTAGTTAATGTGAAGACAAACAGTATTTAACATAAGAGGAATTACTAACTTCAGAGACACAGAATAGATGGATTTGCACTCATAATTCTTAGATTGTTATTGTTTTACGAATTAACTGTGTTTATAAGCTACTTCTAGCTTATACATTATGCAAGTATTCTCCAAAATCAATAAATAAATCAAATGCTAGCCGGACAAAAGTAGCTGGCTTTTGCTCTGTACTCGAATTTCCATGGTGGCTTTTGGGTGCATAAGTAAAGGAAGTCTTTGTGTATATATTAGGCTCTTCATATACGGTGTATTTCTAGCAATCTACTGTACATTTAGTCTAGAGCAACATCTGGTGTTTCAAGACCGGTCCATCACATGCAGTCATTTCATTTTGCAATTAAAAATAAGTTCAAAATATTTGCACAGTTACATAGTCTGTGTGCATTTATTGTGTGTTTTTAACTGCCATTTGTATGTAATGAGTAAAGGAGAGTAGATTAAAGATGTGTTTATTATAGATGTGTAGATTAAAGCCAAGTTTTTGACCGTCACATGAATAAAGAAGACTGTGATTGAAAGATGTGAATAGAATTTGTTAGACCAAGTAAAATATTACAGATAATTATAAGGTCTAAAAATATAATCATACATGTTGGTAAATGCATGGTTTAAACCTAAAAAAGGCATGAATATTAATTTTTTTCCCTTTTTTTTTTTTAAGAATTGTAGCTTTACATTGAAACAGTTGCCAGTCACTTATTCAGTGTGACACTGAATGTATTCAAGGTATATGCATTTCTTTTTCTTTTAGCTTTGGGGTAAAAGTGTGTCAGTGGCTTATCTTGTAATTGTTGAGCATTGTCTCCAACCACAGGAAATAGTATAACTACACCAAGTACTATTAAAATGTTGAAAATTGAAGTATTGAATGTTGAAATTAGGAATATTAAAGCATTTCCTGGCTGGTTTATGAAAATGTGAATATTGTTCTGCAACACAAGGCTTTAGAATGCGATTCTTGTTCTCATATACAGTATGCCCATTGTTTTATTTCAAATGTAAATGGTTCTATATTCCCCAAATGACTCAACTTACGCTTATCATATCATATGCATATCATGCGCATATCTGATGTAGGGTCACATTTCTGTGGCCCTATATTATAAATGATTGCTTCTATTTTTATTTGACTGCAAGACAACTGTAAGTGTCATAACGTACCCCATATATATGTATATATATATAGGAACTACTTTATTCATATCTTACCAGAATTATAGAAAATTATGCAAACAGAAATATAGCGCTATATATAACTAAATAACTCTACACTGAAATAACTTAATTTGTCAATCGAAATGCTCATGTCACAGTGTACACATTACACGTGAAATACTTTTATTATGTTGTTTAGAATAGAATACATACAATAAATCCAATTTGACTGAATACAAAAAGAGCATCTTACAAGGTTAGTGTTCTTTGATTACAATAACTGTCATCTTAACGATCGTGATCTTTCATCCTTGTCTCTAACATGCTTCAGAATGCATTGTCAAAACTTCTCTGCTTTACGGTTTATATAAAACATGGACTTTTTTTTATATACTTACGTTTGAGACCTCAGCATAACCATGTTTTCATACATTTCTGTTAACCAAGTAATCAGGAGATTTGAAAATATTAAAACAGTTTCTACTAAAGAAGAACGTACAGCTCGAAACAATTCGTTTGAGTTATTCAAGAACATTGACCTTTAAACTGTCTTCTAGCACTGGACTTTTGCTCTAAACGTTTGTTCAAATTGATTTTTACTCTCTTTGGACTTGGAAGTACAGATTTGTATGACAAAGACAAGACAATATGGAATAAATAAATGTTTGACTTTTGTCATTTTTGGAACTGCTTTAATAGTTTTCTTTTCTTTTTGGCTGGCATGCACCCAATTTTATCATGCAGATTTGTAGATAATGTATAAATGCCTCCAATTGTAAACACAATATTCCAATCGCGATAAAGTAACAACAGACACCAAGACCTCGAGCTCCACATCAAGGGAATGAAGACGTGCTTGTGTAGTCTGTATTTACACAGACAGTAGGAGCCTGCTGAGTTTCGCAGCTTTATTCTAAGGCATGTTTCAGTTTTCCTTGCAAAGACAGAAAAAATCTCTGATATAAATCCTTAGCAGCAGCATTTTACACAAAGCTTGATACTTACAATTGTGTATTATCAGGATTAAAGCCACCTAGATTTCTATAAAGTATACGGACACTCGGTCACATTTGTGACCCTGGAGTCTTAAGTCGCTGGGGGATATTTGTAGCAATAGCCAAAAATACATTGTATGGGTCAAAATTATACATTTCTCTTTTATGCCAAAAATCATTAGGATATTAAGTAAAGATCATGTTCCATGAAGATATTTAGTAAATGTCCTGTCATAAATATATCAAAACTTAATTTTTGATTAGTAATATGCATTGCTAAGAACTTCATTTGAACAACTTTAAAGATGATTTTCTCAATATTTCGATTTTTTTGCACCCTCAGATTCCAGATTTTCTCGACCAAATATTGTCCTATCATAACAAATCATACATCAATGGAAAGCTATTTATTCATCTTTCAGATGATGCATAAATCTCAATTTCGAAAAATTGAACCTTATGACTGGTTTTGTGCTCCAGGGTCACATTTAATATGCAAGAAGTTCACTAGTTATTGCGTGATGGCCAATAATAGCTGTCTTATTCAATTTGCCTGTTACTTCTATTGTCAATTATCATCGACCTCCTTTGTGGCTGGTAAAAGCAGCTGGTTGAGGTCTCAAGCCTTTGTCCACTCTTTGGCAAAGTCATTTTATTACGCAAGGTTACCCCTTCAGCAGTTTTAAGGTTTTCTGCTAGTTCATTTGCATAGACGTCAAATGGTGATGCTTCAGCTTTAATAGGAGATAGGAGCAGTTTTCCGTCATCCCCTACCGGAGGGTAGTCCATGATTGGAAACGGAGGGCTGAACAGGATGAGACTTTGAGGTCTTGGACGATTTCTGAAGGATGATCTCTGAAGAAGCGATGAGCGCTCAGGTCTGGGGCGATCCATAAAGGTGTCTCCATTTGCAGATCGCTTCCTTCTCAACACTGGGAGATCTGGAACGGAGGTCGGTTTGTAATTGCATGTGGCGTTGTTCATGGGAATCGCTGATGGTGGTTCACTGCTTGGCAGTTCCTCCTTTCCCAACTTGCTCTTAGCAGGTTTCTTTTCAGGTGCACTTTGATTGACTTGATCGGTGCTCCCCTCAGGTAGAGCGTGAGGTATGTGGCTGTACTGAATTTTTGGCGGAATAACAGGAACAGCTTTAGCTTTGCAAGTTTTGATCATGAATGCAGTGCGAACTGATGACACGCTGACTGGTGCCGAGTTGCGTCGCACAGGTGCCTTAGAGCCACTCAGGAACAGCTCCAACTCTAGAGACGAGCTACCGTGCATGGCTTCAAGCGTCGTGCATTCCTGTGCAACTGAATGTTGTACACTTTTCAGATAGTGACTGTTTGAAAAGTCTCTGACACCTTGGTGTCCTAAATCCAGGTTTAGGGAGCATGGCCTGAGTTTGGGTTGAATGTCTTCACGACTCCTCTCCACGACGCCAGACTCATGGGATGTCTGTCGATGAAATCTCTGAGATGAGCGTTTCTGTTTTGCTTTGCTCACGTTTTGCAGTGCAGCCGTCTCATCTGGATCGGTGAATGCCTTCAGTATCTTAACCTGTGGAATCTCAAGTTTGCTGTCGTCTTTGTCTCCCATCCACTTGAGGTTATCACTCTCGCAATGCTCTGTTATCGGTGAAAAACAAGTTACATTTGTGTCTGCATTTCTGTTTCCTGTCGGGAAGTCAATGTTTCGGAGTTCACAGGCAGCTGTCACAGCAGCCTCTGTTTGAGATGGTGTAATGTCATCAAGCACAGCTGGTTCTTTAGGCAAGTCGTCCACTTTTGGTTTTTCAAGAACTTGGCTGTGAGTTGCTTGACATGGCATAGGTTTTGGTGAGTGCAGAGGGCTGGTTACCCACTGCTTGGCAGAACACCAGTCTTCCCATGGTTCAACCTGATCCAAATTACTCCCCCGTGTGTCTACAGCATCTCGACAACAACTTTCCAGTGTGCGCTGTTGTTCATTCAGACAAGTCGAGAGTCTTTCCAAACTTCCCTTGATTCTTTCTGCTAAATCGAGTTTCTTTGGTTCACCACTAACCTCCTTATTTTCATCTTTACAAATATCCTTTGTTATCAATGGCTCTTTCGTGTCAGAGTGAAGAGATGTGTGAACGTCCGATTTACCCGGCAAGTCACTTTTGGGAGTGTTGTCTTTCCTAACAGCCTCTGTTCTTGGTTCCTCTTCGCTGCATGGCTCTGCATCTTGGAGGATATCTGTTTCCTTTAGGTGGAGAAATGGGGAAAGCTCTAGACTGGTTGTTATTATGGTTTGCGACTCTAGGCTCTTGTGGTCTGTCCTGTCAGCTTCATTATCCAGGTAATTCCAGCCACCATCACATGACAACAATCTTTCGGGGAAATGCTTCGTGACAGAATTAAACGTAGTAGCAGCAGAATGATCAAACGTCACATTTTTGGTAAGGTCTATAAAGAGTCCCTTTGACATCACAGTGTTTGTAGGCAAACTACTTCTTCTCTGTGCACTTAGCTTGCAAGTGTCCTCGTTTCCAGTCATATTGGTGAAGCGGGGCTTCACCTGTTCACCTGGCATGCTTGTTTTAGCCTCGGTGACTGAAACTTTCTGATGCATGCCAGACGATGGCACCTTTTTGATTACTTCCTGTGAAACACGACGAAGGAACACAAAAAAAGAGAGAAAAGTGAGGGCTGGTTATACAGACATTTGTTCCAATGATATTTCAGAGGTCAAAATTATGTCTTTTTAAGACAGTAGCTTAAATAGGTTTATACATTTGGGCTTAATTGCAATTAGGAGTTAATGGACTTGAAATATATATCACTATTTCATCTTGGGATTTAGTACTAGTACAGTGGTTCTCAACTTTTTTGACTCGAAGGCCCTCCAGTGTGTATATACTTTAATATATTACATTTTAAGTCATACCACGGCCCCCTGGTTGAGAGACATTGTGCTTGTAGTATGTCAATCCTATTAAAAATGCAGGCGTACAATTCCATGTGTTTTAGCAATTCAAATCATACCAGTTTGTCCAATTTTGCCATTTCTTGTTGTGTTGATGTAGTTTCCAGTTCTTTCACTATTTCTTTAGTCTCAGATGACGCCTGAGGTTCAGAATTCTCCACATTGGCTATCAGGTCTCGCACTTCTGCGTCCTTGCCTGAGAAAATTCGGAGAAATCAGCATCATGTTATCAGTTAGGGTAGCAGATTTAAAGGTGCAGTGTATAATTTCTGTGGCACTAGCATCACCAGACAGAATTGCACAAATAATGTGATTCCCGAACACTTCCCCCATCTGCCATTACTGAGATATCTGACAGTCCCAGCTCAAACACACACACACACACACTCACACACACACACTCACACACACACACACACACACACACACCGTTTGTACAAACCGTATTTTCTATCGCCCTACACCTAACCCAACCCCTTGAAGGAAACTTTCTGCATTTTTAGATTTTCAAAAAAACGAATTCTGAATTATTTATAAACCTTTTGAAATATGGGGACACTCAAAATGTCCTCATAAAGCACCTTCTCATTGTAATACCTATGTCATGCCCATGTTATTATACAAATTTGTGTCCTCATAAATCACAAAAATGCGCACACACTCTCTCACACACACACACACACACACACACACACACACACACACACACACACACACACACACACACACACACACACACACACAGACCAATCGTCATACTCTTTGTTGTCCCCAGAGTGAGCGCATCTGTAATATCTCTTTCCCCAGTCTGAGCCTCGTTTTCCACGGGGAAAGGGCTGCTGTTGCTATAGATACTGCATCCGCTGCCTCCGCTGCTGTCACTGAGCAGGTGCTCTCTGAACCCAGTGCTGCTGGAGTGACCTGCTAGTCCAGTCTCCCAGTCTGTGAACGTGAAGTTCCCACTGCTGCTTCTGCTGGGGACACTCAATCCAGCAGTGCCAATACTTTCGCTGCGACGGGCTTCCAGAGGTCCAGCCTCCTTACTGGGCTTAAAGAGTCCCCCCAGACCCCTGTCCCTCTCTTTCCCCGGTGCCCTGCAGGGGGTGCTGTTAGAGTTAATAACTGCAGACACACGCAAAGGTACAGACACCGCGAAGGGTTCCGAAATGTTGAGGGCCTTCCGTTGTTGCCGCGGCGACGACTCCAGCGGAAACAGGCTGCCTGGAAAAGATGGTCTAGACGATCCACTACTGGCAGATCCAGAATACAGCATCCGACGGTTTTTGGGAGATGTGGGCTGGCAGCCGCTGCGGTCATCACCTTTGAAAACCTTCAGCTGTTCTGGAAGAGTTTTCTGCAGTGGGGATAAAGATGGAGATGCAGAGGAGGCATCCGATGCTCTTTCTCTTTTCTCATTCACACATCCTCCCGAAGCAGTATGAGGATCTGAGTGCCATTTTGGATCCTTCTTGTTTGGATTGTAGTCGATACCCGAGCCCAGGGTTCGGGATTTTAGACTTGGGATAAAGATACCATTGCTTCCTTCTGTTGGTGCTTTGTGCTCATCTGAATGGGAGTGAAAAAGAGAAAACTGGTGGTGACACCTAACCTATGTATAGTGGCCCCAACATTTTTTCACACTTTACCCAAAGATAAAAATTAAGAACGTTTTTTAGAATTAATAATATTAAGCATTAAACTTTGTTTGTAAAACAAAGCATGCCATTAATTAACGTGATAAACTGCACTTTCCATGAACTTGAGTTGATACATTCACTTGAAAACATTTGATTAAATAATATTTTTTTCTATTATTGCAGTACTGCAGAAACTAATCTAACAATCAGATAAAACCAAGTCTCCTGTCATGAACCTTTTCTGTAATACTATCAATGTTTGCCCGTATGCCGTGTGTCGGGCTGATATCTTAATTAGCTGCTTTTTCTTTTATGTGAATGAAGTTGTTATTTTTAATATATAATGTATCTTTATATACATATATGCATTTATTATATACATCAAAATTGTTTTAAATCTGTTTGGAGAACTGCAAAAGGACAGCTTAGTAAAGTAAGTATATATGGAGATCTAGCCCCACCTGCTGCCTGAAAGGAACAGAGAGAGTCCATGCTTTTGGATGGCCTTATAACAGGTTTTTCTGTTCAAGAGAGGAAAGAAACATAAAACATAAATCTCGCCATACTATTTGTTCTTCTTCTTTACTCTGCACTGATAAAAATAGATCATTTGGACCAAATTAAAAGAAAAATACAGTAATGTATTACAGTAAGATACATTAGTTTTTTTCAAATTGTAATTATTGTTTTGGCTCAAACTTAAAATTTTGATTTAATAATAACAAAATATATTTATTTTCCCAAAGACAAAAACATTCATACAAAGTAAAAAGATTATTATAAACACCTTATTTATTTAATTAATATATTCTCTTCAGACATAAGCCAAAATGTTACTTCATGTAGGTCAATATAATAATCTCTGGGCCTTTAATGTAATTCACCATTATTAAGGTGACATGTTTTTAAAATATGTATAACATTTTCTGACTCTAGGGTCAAGCAAAAAACAAATATTTTTTTCTTCTATGGGGAGTGTTATTTGCTTTTGCAGAAACCATTTAGACCAATATGAAAATGCATTTTATTAAATGACACTTCATGATGCTTTGGCCATCTATAGGGCTCTCATCAGATGCAGAGAGCAACATCGTGCTTGTATTACTGCTCTGATGTCTGCTCCCCGAAATATCATAAAGTAGCATTTTGATTTCTGGCTGCACCTCCTCTTTTGTGTGTTCCCTTTTTGGGAACTTTAGATTCTAGACACTAGAAAGCTTCTCTCGCTCTCGGTCTCTTTCTTACCGGAGGGATTTGGGGCTCTCATAAACACACTCCCATTGCGACTCAGCTTCCCTTTAGAGTCGATGACAGATCGCCCAAGACTGAAGATGGACTTCCACTTCTTAGATTTTCCTGAGAATTTGCTCCTGTGTTATGAGAAGACTTCAAATGAAATGTTGCTCTCTAGGTCAAGCTTTACAGTTTATGTGCATGCTGTACAGTTTCAGTATTGTGCATGTTAAAACCTGACATACACATGCTATAGGGAGTGTGTGTAGGCTTGCGTAAATATATCAAACCTGCTGTCAGACAGATCTATTACTGTGTGGTACATTGCAGCAGTGCTGGTATCTGGAAGGCTGTTCTCTCTTTGTCTCTCTCTCATCGCTGGATGGTTGGGACTGAGAGAGCGAGCCTGCGCCTCTTCCAGACTCATGAGCTTCATGGGGCCAGACTGCGTGCTGGCAGGCAAGGTGGCGTACTTCTCCCCACACGCCATGCTGGGGCCTACAAAACCATGAAAACCAGTTCCATGTAGCATGTCTTGAGGATAACATACTTTGCATCACTAAAAGAGCTCAAAGCCTTGTTCTATCACAGGGGTCCTCAACTCTGAACCTCTGGACGCTCCAACCCTAACCAAACACACCTGAACAAGCTACTCAAGGTCTTCAGGATTGCTACAAAGTTGCAGGTAGGTGTGTTTAATCCAGGTCAGAGCTAATCTTTGCAGGAAAGTGTTGAGGAGCTGTTCTATCAGTATATATAAATGATGGAAAAAGTAATGGCTGAACACAATACTTAAAAAGTATTTTCATTTAGTGTAATTTTAGTATTATTTATATACTTTAATATACTTTTTGTTAACATTTTGATTTAAAAAATATGTATAATTTAGTTAGATTTAGTAACTTTGTTTTGTGTGTTTGTCATTTTAATGTTTTTTTTTTACTATTTAGGTTCAGTTTATAAACCCCATTTCCAGAGAAGTTGGAACATTTTGTCAAATGCAATACAAATTTTCTTTAACCTCTATTTAATTGACAAAGATCTCCAATGTTTTCACTGACCAACTGAATTGTATTTTGCAAACTTAAACAAATTTTGATTTTGACGGCTGCAACACACTCCAAAAGAGTTGGGTCAGCGGCATGTTTACAACTGTGTCACATCAACTTTTCTTTAATGACTGTTTTTAATCATTTTTAAACGAGAAGACTAATTGCTACAGTTTTGCAAGTGGAAATGTTGCCCAGTCTTGCTTGACACAAGACTTCAGCTGCTCAACAGTAAGTGGTCATCATTGTGTATTTCTCCTCTTCATGATGCACCATGCATTTTCAATAGGAGACAGATCTGGACTGCAGGCTGTAGCACATGCAGAATGAAACCTAGCATTGTCTCGCTCATATAACCATGGACTTCCCAGGAAAAAATGTCATTCTGATGTCAGTATATGTCTCTGTACAGTCCCAGTATATGCCTCAGCCTCAGTGGTGCCTTCACACATTTGCAGGTCACCCATCCCATGTGCACTGATGAAACCTACTTCATGACAGATGTTAGCTTGTGCACCTGATAGAAGTCTGGATGGTCCCTTTGTAGAATTCAATGTCTGTTTTCCCCAGAAACAAGTTGAAATGTGGACTGATCTGAGCACAGCTTACTTCTCCACTGTATTTCTAATTATCTGAGATGAGCTCTGGCCCAGAGAACCCCGCGGCATCCATAGAGCTGATGTATAGCTTTCTCCTTCCCTAACAGAGATTCAAGTTGCTTTTCTTGATCCAGCGATGGACTGTGTTTAGTGACAATTGTATTCTGAACTTCTTCAGAGCCCACATGGCTATATTTAACACCTACACAGACTGAGATTTCGCCAGATTCCCTACGGTACGGTAGATGGCGAAAAACCTCCATTCTTTGCAATCTTGCATTGAGAAATATTATTTTTTTAATGGTTTGACAATTCTCTCATTGTAAGTTGTAAGCCATGACCCATCTATTTTGGTGGATGCTTGTTATTTTTACCCAATCATGATCCCCTCACCTATTACCAATGCAGCTGCTTATTGTTGGATGTTTCAAAACAGTTTAACTTGGATATTCCATAATCTTTTCACTTTTATTTTGCCTCTGACCAAAGTTTTTTTTTAATCTTTTCTTTGTAGGCTTGTCAGTTAAATAAAGGTAAAAGAGAATTAACAAATCACAGATTCTTGATTTTATTCTTGTTCTCACAAAAATGTCCCAATTTACAGTTAGAAATTTTAGTGCTTGAACTTATTTCAGTTCTAATTTGCAAATATTTATATTTTATTTCAATTAGCAAAACTGTTTTAAATAGTTTTAGTTAATGATAATAACCCTGTTTTCATGCTGCAGTATCTACAGGTGCATCTCAATAAATTAGAATGTTGTGGAAAAGTTCATTTATTTCAGTAATTCAACTCAAATTGTGAAACTCGTGTATTAAATAAATTCAATGCACACAGACTGAAGTAGTTTAAGTCTTTGGTTCTTTTAATTGTGATGATTTTGGCTTACATTTAACAAAAACTCACCAATTCACAATCTCAACAAATTAGAATACTTCATAAGACCAATAAAAAATGTTTTAATGAATTGTTGGCCTTCTGGAAAGTATGTTCATTTACTGTACATGTACTCAATACTTGGTAGGGGCTCCTTTTGCTTTAATTACTGCCTCAATTCGGCGTGGCATGGAGGTGATCTAGCGTTGGGGAAAGTTACTTTAATGCATTACAATATTGCATTACCCAATAAAAAAGTAACTAATTGCGTTACTTAGTTGCTCTTTATGGAAAGTAATGCATTACGTTGCTTCTGCGTTACTTTTTGTCATAACAAAAACCCCAAAAGTTATATTTTTGGCAACTGTAAAGGTCCTTTTACACCAAAAGTGTAAATATATTTATAATTAGATATTTATTTGGAATTTTCAGTGTGAACACACTACTCGCACTATTTACACACTACAAAACGGCTAAGAATAGTGCATAAGTGCATGAAATGGGATGCACCTATACTTTATTTCTTGTCACCACACTCATAGGCAGGTTTCTAAATAGGAAGACGAGTGCAAATGCAGGGCCTATTGCAGGAGCTTTAAGAGGCTGTGCTAAACCAAACACATGTGCGCTGATCAAATCATCACAAGCTGTGAAAGACTGGATGGCTTTCAAATGAGCCTAAGCTACACTCTACCCAACTGTGTGCTAATTCCCCTTAATGAGCTGCAATTTCCAATTACTCTATATCCTGTTTTGAGTTGTACAACATGGTTACAGAATATGCCCAGGTGGTGTACATCTAAAATAAAATCTCTTCTTACTACTACTGCACTTTTCAATGAAGTTTTTTTATGGCTATACTAACAGCATCTGGCATCTTCACCAACCGCTCCGTTCATTCAGAGATACAGTGCATTGTCTGTGTGACTGCATTGCTGAATGCGAGCTATACCTTCTCTGGACTTGCATGGCTGAAGATCCAGGTTGAAGATTTGCCAGCGTTGGGGAAAGTTACTTTAATGCATTACAATATTGCGTTACCCAATAATAAAAGTAACTAATTGCGTTACTTAGTTGCTCTTTACGGAAAGTAATGCATTACGTTGCTTCTGCGTTACTTTTTGTCACCTGGGCTGAGCTTGCTTATTTGTTTTTTAATAACAAAAACACCAAAAGTTATATTTTTGGCAACTGTAAAGGTCCTTTTACACCAAAAGTGTAAATATATTTATAATTAGATATTTATTTGGAATTTTCAGTGTGAACACACTACTCGCACTATTTACACACTACAAAACGGCAAAGAATAGTGCATAAGTGCATGAAATGGGATGCACCTATACTTTATTTCTTGTCACCACACTCATAGGCAGGTTTCTAAATAGGAAGACGAGTGCAAAAGCAGGGCCTATTGCAGGAGCTTTAAGAGGCTGTGCTAAACCAAACACATGTGCGCTGATCAAATCATCACAAGCTGTGAAAGACTGGATGGCTTTCAAATGAGCCTAAGCTACACTCTACCCAACTGTGTGCTAATTCCCCTCAATGAGCTGCAATTTCCAATTACTCTATATCCTGTTTTGAGTTGTACAACATGGTTACAGAATATGCCCAGGTGGTGTACATCTAAAATAAAATCTCTTCTTACTACTACTGCACTTTTCAATGAAGTTTTTTTATGGCTATACTAACAGCATCTGGCATCTTCACCAACCGCTCCGTTCATTCAGAGATACAGTGCATTGTCTGTGTGACTGCATTGCTGAATGCGAGCTATACCTTCTCTGGACTTGCATGGCTGAAGATCCAGGTTGAAGATTTGCTCAGTGTGGTTGAGAATGAACTCCACGACTGACTGCTGGACCCGCACCTCCAGAAATGCTATATCACCATTGCAGGAGGGCACTTCTACCTCCCTGGAGCTACGCCAAAACGAAAAGAGAGCACTTAGAAAATGCAATGAATGTAATGAATCAATAGTTTTTGTGAGTGATAATATTATGTAGCATTAATGCCTTTAAAGAAAATATCTCATTCGACAGATCATCAAACAAAGAAGAAGAATAATAGCGTGAATGTAAGAAATTTGATAATATCGAAACAATATGTAGTAGTATAGTATATAGTATCCAAATCAAAATGTAATAAAATAAATTTATGTGTGATTTATGTGTAAATTATGTGCAATGTCTTAGCCACTAGGGATTGTTACATAGGGCTATGCAGCATCTATCTAGTAGTATTACAGATACTCAATTGTGCAAAATGTTTGGAACTCAATGCACTGAATCTCCACAAATTAGTGTCGTTACTATGACAACCAATTTGAATGTGACAAGCAACTGGTGTCTGAGAAGAATTATATATATATATATATATAATTTGGGGGGCAATAGAGATTACGCCTAGGGCGTCAAATTGGCTAGAAACGGCCCTGATGCCAGCTGTACCTGAAGTGTGAAGCAGGAAGTTCTTTTATGACACTCCTGATGTTTAGGAGTTGCTGCTGCTCCTCTTTAACGGACACTGCATCCTTTGCACAAAAATATAGATCGAGGAAGATTAATTCCTGGATTCATGTGTACATTTTTAATGTGTTTCTAATGAATCACTATGGATCTCCTGGAAACTAATAATCATCTTAACCAAGGAAGTTGGTGTTTGTAGAGGTCCAAATGGAACTAATATTAAACTGATTATTTGTACAACTACAGGAAACACTTACATATGTTTACTATCTAAAATATTATATATATGAGAACAAACCATTTTTTAAAATCCTGCAAAGTCTGAAATATGCAATAATAATCAGAAAAATATATTTTTCATGGAAGAGTTTATTGAATATGAATTTTGAGCTCATACTTGAGGAAGAAAAACATACCTCAGTTTTATTTTATTTAGGCCTAAACTTAACAAAAAATATACAATTTGGTGCAGTCGCTGATATTTATATGGCCAAAATGTAAGATGAAATTCTGAGAGCTTTAACAATATAACAGACCACTTACAGCGTGTGCTGTACTACTGTACTGTAGTACAAAAATATAACAATTAATAATAATAATAATAATAAAAGTGGCCTATGCTATCCCTAAAATAAATGTCACATGTCTGACAAACTTACTGTAAATTTCTTGTAGAGTTCGTAAGTGAGGAGAGGGTTGGGGAGCTCTCTGAAGTACAGTTTACATAAAGAGCCCACGCAGTGGATATCCTGAAGATACGCTTCTTTAGTGAGGTCAGGACAGGCTTCAGAGCAAAACTCCTGTCTGTATGTGCACACACACACACACACACACACACACACACACACACACAGATACACACACAGATACACATACACACACGCACACACACACACACACACACGCACACACGCACACACACACACACACACACACGCACACACACACACACACACACATGAACTACAAAGAGATGACTGTACAAATGATTTAGGCAAGAGTTTAGACTAGTTCAAGTCTTATAGGAAACATTTCCCATCATGCAACACAATTGTATGTTTGACACGGTGAGTCAAAATAATTGGCCTACCTGAGTTTTTGAATGTTAGATGTGATTCCTGAGAGTCTGTAGATTCCATCCACAATCCCATGTTTCTCTATGAACTCTGTGCAAGTCTTCAGAACGTAAGGAACTAGACAAAAAAAAAACCCCAGGACAAATTAATGCATGGTCATTCACATATATCAATAAAGCTTCATTTATTAAAAGAACAGTTCACCCAAAATGAAACTTCAGTCATCATCACATAAGCCTTAATGACTTTTTTCTTTCATGGAACAGAGGACAAAATATTTTGAGAAATGTTCTCACTAATTCTCCCCATACAATGAAAGCATCCAGTGGAAAAAAGAAAGCCATAAAAGTATTAGCATGAACATTATTTAGTAGCATATTGTCTTTTGTCTGACTAAAATCTGCACTTCACTAGAAATCACCTCTTCTCCACAACTCTCAAATATCAATGTTTCAAAAAAAAATTAATAAAATAAAAAATAGCCAGTACCTAAAACAGTGACCAGAACCAAGTTTGAATATATGGAGCATGAATGATATGTAAGCGCTCTTTTTTTTTGTTTTTTATAAATGCTTACATTTTGGTCACCTCAGACAAAGGTGTATTTAGCTTCAGGAGACTTGAACCTTTTAGGATTTTGTTTGTTTGTTTGTTTTTGACCTTTTGGGAGCTTTACATCCCCTAGTCACTGTAAGCTTTCATTGCATGAAAAGAGCAGGACTTAAATAAATCATGCACTTGAGCGAATTAAGCAAGCGTACATGCAGTGCCTTCTATTTCATTCTTAAATATAAACACATTTAATATTTTAGCTCTCAACAAACAGCCTCGGTTTTAAAGAGTGTGCATGTGCAGAAATGCGTAAGGAACCCTGGATTATAACGTGAAAGGGAGCCTGTGATGATTCATCAAATAAAGCAAATTGATGGGCAACGAAAAAAGTGAAGTATAGACCTCAGATGGAGTTCATAGTGAAATCTCTAAGTGTTGAATGTAGACTTTGAGCACAGTTTGAGACGCATTTGAGATTATTGGGGCATGCAGTTGACCACTGACAAGGCTTGGTGTGAGAAAACGTCTGAAAAATATGGACAATATAAACCAAAACGCTTTACCCTAATGGTAATACATTTTGAAGTCAGTCAGAAAGCACTCATCAATTTTTATGCAGCCAGGAGAAAGGCCTACAAATGCCAAAAATTAGATTTTGTGTGATTTTTATCACAATTTAGTAAGTCATACAACTATTGCAACATTGCAAAATATATAACAACCACATTTACTCAAGTCTGCGTTCTTTGTATATTAACCTTTTAAATAATCCGAATGTACATTTCTGTTGTCTCTCTTCGCAACTGTAGTGTTTCATGTAGACTACAGTACTATTACACCGTCCTTCCTTCATCCTGTCAGGCGCTTATTGTGGAGAAGGTGGGCCAGGGCAGGAAGTTAAAAATGGTTTGTTTGTTTCAGAGGAAACCTGACACACCCAGGCCTTGCAGCTGGTATTACTTATGACACTTCCTCTTATTCTAAAAGACCTCGGGAAAGTTCCCACCCAGCTTCATCACTTCCTTACCATACCTTCAGCCATGATATCTTCAAGCTTTAAATTGATTTATCATCATAAAAATAGACATCTAAATAGACACCATCACAATGAGCTACAATTATCAAGGGATTTCACAGCATTGTTAACCCTGAAGTTGATCACTTTAATTTACCGGGACATGCCATTTGCACAAAACTGGTACTCGTGTCATGATGTCACAACGTGCCAAAACCAGGGTTGATGTCATCAAAGCATCATCATGTGATTTTAAAGTGAATAAACACATTTTGGCGTGCTCAGCATACAAAGTCATTTTTGATCAATTCAGAATCCACTGGAGCTGTATGGATTACACTTGGGTCCTTTTTGGACCTTGAAACTTTAGACCCTATTGGCTTTCACTGTATGGACATTTAAAAGTTCATTATTTTCATTTTTGGGGTAAATTAAATTTTTTTATTGGATTTATTGGGGTTTTCAGTTTGTGTGGGAGTCTGTGGGAAGAGTACGGAGCAGTAATTCTGAGCCACAGTTTAATTGTATATATTCTTATTTTGAAGTTATTTGTTGGCCTCTTTGTGCGCTAACCACTAGGCCACAGCTTATACCTAATTTTAGCATTTTATCAGACTGTCAACAAAGTTTAGTTCTTATAACAGGTCAGGATACTCTCCTTTTGTCAGACTGGATTTCAGAAGAAGCAGATGTGGAGAAATAAATAGAGCTGTAGGCTCAATAATTTGTTCAATAACAAAAAATTACCAGGCTCTTCACCGAGTCATAATCCATTTGCAAAAGAACTGAAAGTAGGCTTATAAACGATGTGATCATTTAAAGTAATGAACTGTAGGGAAAAAAAACCTTTATTTTACAGTCCTGCTCCGCATGTTATGTACTTATCATAACAATTACAATAACTGGGTAATAGCTAGGTACTAACCCTGAACCTACCCCTAAACTAACCTTAACCCATAGTTAACTTCAACTACCCAGCACTTTCTTGTGGAAGTACATGTACTGTACAATAAAGTGTAACCAAAACATTAGCTGGACCAATAAACCATCCAGAGTCTTACTTAATCTACACGTATCTAAAAACGGAAGCGTTCACCTAAATATGTATCGCTGATCTGCATATAAAAGAACTTTCATAAAGTGAATTTCTTTATCGATACACTATAACTGCAGAGAGATCAGCTTGGAGTAAAATCCTCACACACAGTACACACAATACAGCACATCCTAAGCAAAAGCATGACATTTTTAAAAAGAATATTAAAGAAAGCTAAAAAGAAGCATTAAAGAAAGAAAAATGGGGGATTTAGGGAAAACCCAGATCATTTACTATTCAGCAGTTCTGCCTGAGACGCAGTGGAGACCGGATGAATGAATGAATGATTGTTCTCTGAGAGGAAGACGTCTGAGAAAAGCTTTCTTTATGACCTGCAGCCAGAGATGTGCTCCAGTGTTTTACAGTTATTGGTAAATCCTGCTTTAGTTTAGTAAGGAGATGCTGACATCTGACATGGATATCTTATTGAAAACACTAGCATATGTTTTGGATGCCAGTCCTCATATGGGACATTTTGGTTTGTTATTGATGTCTACTCATGGCTTCTTTACTAGCAAAAAAAAAAAATGGAATAAGCAGGGCTTTCAAGAGGGCGAATTAATTCAAAATGTATTCTGACTTTACAGTTCAAGTTTTGGAAACACTATATAATATCACAATGGGGTTAATGGATGATGCTGAGAAAGTATAAATCTATGCTATGCTCAAATAATGTATACAAGTTGCCAGTGAGAAAACCAAAGGAGCCTGTTGCATTGGGGAAAAAACTCCATTAGTTGTTTAAGTAATGGAGGAAAATCAATATCTCACCTGATGACTTATTTGTCATGATAAAGAATTGTATAATAATAATTGTTAGTTAAAAAAACAATATTGAGATATTGTAATAGAATATAATCTTACTTCAACACAGGAAATGAATCAGATTCTTCAGGATAAATATCTTGAGAGCATTTGTGACCTTGGAGCCCAAAACCAGCCATTGCAGTAGTTATGTTTATGTATGGGACATAGAATATAATTGAGATGCATCATCTGAAAGCTGAATAAAATAAGCTTTCCATTGATGTATGGTTTGTTAGGATAGGACAATATTTGGCTGAGATACAACTATTTGAAAATCTGGAATCTGAGGGTGCAAAAAAATCTAAATATTGAGAAAATCATCTTTAAAGTTGTTCAAATGAAGTCATTGCAGTAGTTATGTTTATGTATGGGACCTAGAATATAATTGAGATGGATCATCTGAAAGCTGAATAAATAATCTTTCCATTGATGTATGGTTTGTTAGGATAGGACAATATTTGGCTGAGATACAACTATTTGAAAATCTGGAATCTGAGGGTGCAAAAAAATCTAAATATTGAGAAAATCATCTTTAAAGTTGTTCAAATGAAGTCCTTAGCAATGCATATTACTAATCAAACATTAAGTTTTGATATATTTACGGTAGGAGATTTACAAAATATCTTCATGGAACATGATCTTTACTTAATATCCTAATGATTTTTGACATAAAAGAGAAATGTATAATTGTGACCCATACAATGTATTGTTGGCTATTGCTACAAATATCCCCCAGCGACTTAACACTGCTTTTGTGCTGCAGGGTCACATTTATGGTCATTCTGCCTGTCGCAGTGATCAAAACATGTGAGAAGACAGGATCTAAAACAAAAGACGTGGGGACAAAACCACTTTGAACAAACAAATGAAGAAAGTCCAACGGCGGCATATCAAAATATTGCATTAACTGTGATATGCTCAATAACACACGCACTCACTTTGAGAGGAACTGTTGCTTTTTAGTTATGATTTTGATGATGTTTCATAAACAGGATATGTCGGCATTTAACGTGAACTGTATATCTTTAAAATCTAGTCCTCCCCTTTTCTCCTCCTCTTTTCTCCCTTCCTCTTCCTCTGAGCATTTCCTTTGCTCTTTATTTTTCACTTTATGCATGTGTATTTGGCAAATCAAAGCACTACACAACTTAGTCGTAAACTAAGATTCCATTCAGATTTATTTTAGACCCATTAACCCACCCAAAGTGGAGATTTATTAGACAACACCTAAGAGTTAGAGCAACAAGTTTCACTCAAAAGTTTGCATCTAGACTCTGAATGAAGTATCTTCCGTTTCAACAGCACAGAAACACAGACTCATCACCCAGCGAGAAATGGGTGTTGGTTTATTACACGTAGTTAATGTTTACGCAGAGGCCCAGGCTGCTGCTCGTAATAAAGCACATTTATTATGACGGCTGGGGCTTTGAAAGGCTCGGCGGCCGTTATATGAATGGCAAGAGGAGGAGTGAGTATGGAAAAGAGGAATTTACCGTCTCGTCCTGAATTCTGCAGATGTTCGGTCAAGTCACAGCCGAATGCATTTTCAGTTCCTTTCCTTTTGGACTTCAGCTTGGCAGCCTTATTCTTCATCAGGCTTCAGTAGCTAATCCAGATCAGAGTAAATACACCTTCAAATCAACCATTGGCCCCCACAGCGCATGGGATGGGAAGGGGGAAATGTGTCAAAAGTACAAAACGAAAACCCCCAGGACGTCCACGGCGTTAAACAAAAGAAATCATCCGCTCACATCTTGACCGAGCCACCAAAGAGCTGGTGTGGGTGAAGAATGCAGGAGCGCGGTACACACCCAAAGTCACTTCATCATCAGGCTCTCTCCTCCCTCATGTCCTCGCACAGACCCTGAGGTGAGAGTCTCGTCTTTCTATCTATCTATCTATCTATCTATCTATCTATCTATCTATCTATCTATCTATCTATCTATCTATCTATCTATCTGTCTATCTATCTATCTGTCTATCTATCTATCTATCCGTTCCACGTTGTTCAGGAGGTCATCGTTCTGGTGTTGAGTGGAGGCTTGAAATGTCAGAACTTTTTTTTGCGAAGGGGAGGGGAGAGACATAGCTGCCTGCTTTTTCTTCACCCGTTCGGACCATTACTGAACCCCTTTCACCCAACCAGCCCCCCCCCCATCCCGCTTTCTCTCTTCCTCCCTCCTCTTTTTCTTTTTTGTGACCATGGCTCCAACAGGAAACCTGCTCTCTGCCTTCCTGAATGCTTACAGAATACACAATTTCCTGCAAAGGGAACCTTGTTTGGAAAACAAAAACAGACCGAGAGAAGGAGAGAGAGAAAGGCAGAAAGAGACAGACAGAGAGGACGTGGAAAAAACTGGAGAACAGGGGGGAAGACACAAGGTTCCCGTTAACCACGGCTTGTTAGCCAGTTTCAGTGTTTCTTCAACTGCAGGCACTTTTATGTCCCAGGGGCTGATTTTTATTCAAACGAACAGATTCTATTTTTTTCATAAATGAATGGCACATTAAAATAGTCATGAAGGTTTCTTTTTACCACCTTAATCTGTTAATCATTCATTTTTAGTTTTAGTTTTTCAAATGCCTTTTACCTATAGATGTTGTTGCTTTACACTTGTCCCAGACTTTCAGCCTTAAAATGTATAAGCCATCAGAACATTTCAATATGTATTCTATGAAAATGCTTTATATATAATGTTTAATATCTGTTTTCACATAGTTTGTTTTCGGCACGATGCCCTTTATGGACAACATTTTTTGCCACTTTTGTCACAAGGTTTTTTCAAAAGTTATTGTACGTGCACATACTCGAGATGAAATATGAGATCATTGAAGAAAACAGAGAAAAATATATATTTGTGAAATAATTAAATAATAATAAAAAAATTTTTTATTTGTGTGTGTGTTTAGATTACATAAAATCTTAGCTGCTCCGAAAAGCACACATCAGTGTAAAAAAAAAAAAAGAAAAAAAAAGACAGCTAGCAAGGAGTCATTTTGCTGTGATCCGAGAGGAAGGAAGTATGAAGGATCGAGGACAGTATATGCTGACAAACATGGCCATGGAAACATAAGTGGTAACCTTGACATAATCAACACAAAAGAGCCACCAAGTAAGGGAGCATCTGTCTTTTAGCATGTTAAAACACGTCCAAAAGGTGCATTCTTGGTGACATTTGTGCAAAATTCAGGTTTATTATATTTTTAAGTATTCCATTTATAAAGGTTGTTGCTAAACCTTTACGGTCCACAGCATTAGGGTAGATTCAAACCTTTTCAAAACTTAAACTCCAATATATTTATTTTTCATTGCATAAGATAAGCATTTGGTTAACTCCACTTTGAATGAATGTGTGTCTCGCTGTAGACAGTAACAACATATCTGTACACAGTTCTGCTTCAGATGAAAATGTTATCCATACAGAGAAGTGATGGAAGATAAGCTTGCCTTCTGAACAGTTTTGTTGAGTAAACTTGTTAAAAAATAAATACATGAATTAAAAGACGTCTCATATGCTCATGAGGGCTGCATTTATTTAAACAAAAATGCAGTAAAAATTTTAATTTTTGTGAAATATTATTACAGTTTTAAATAACTGTTTTCTTTTTTATTTTAACATAAAAAGCTGAATAAAATAAAATAATAATAAAAGCTGTATTTCCAGCATCATTACTGCAGTCTTCAGTGTCACACGATCTTTCAGAAATCAGTATAATATGCTGATTTGCAACTCAAGAAACATTTCTGATTATTATCAGTGTTGAAAACAGTCGTGCTGCACGATATTATTTGTGGAAACCGTGATACATTTTATTTTTCAGGATTCACAGATGAACAGAAAGTTGAAAAGAACAGCATTTATCCGAAATAGATTTTTTTGTAACATTATAAAGTCAATTCTCATTGATACATTACAAACGCTCTTCTATCAGTAATCAACATTTCTTCTAATAGCTTTTCCTATAGCAGGCACAGAAATGATTAGTATCAACAGACAAAAAAAAGAGGGTCCTTTCAAATAAGACATAAAAAAGTCAGATCGCTGATTAAAGCGATTACAGAACAGATACTTGTTTGTGTCTAGTCACCATGTGCCAAAGGTTGTTCTTCTTTCTATCGGGAATCCTGCATCATGTGACAGAAGCCAACAAAGGGTGAATTCAGCCGGATGCCTGTCAGACAATCTCAGTCCATGACGTAATAGAGCGCAAAACTGCCCACTTTTTCAGTGGCCTTGGTTCCATAAGTGTTTTCCCATTCATTTTCTCCATGGGGATTTAATAACACATCCTTAAATAAGAGTCTCGAGAGACTGGAGAGCTTCATGGGAGCAGACTATCACTGTTACAGTATGCTCTTTTGCCGAAGTTCAATTCCAACTTGATTGAAGAGTTTGCAGACAAACTTTAAGCTGGCTTGAAAAAGCCTAGAAAGTTTGAAAAAAGCTTGCAGTCTGAAAGTTTTCAGTTTGAAGTAGTTTGAAAGTTAAAATCATTTTAAAGATTACAGATTGAATGTTTTCAAGGCAATACAGTCTATCAGAAAAACAGATATAGGTATAAAACATATACCTTTTGAAGCTCTTGAGCAAGGCACCGAACCCCAACTGCTCCCCGGGCGCCGCAGCAGAAAAATGGCTGCCCACTGCTCCGGGTGTGTGTGTGTGTGTGTGTTCACGGTGTGTGTGTGCACTTTGGATGGGTAAATGCAGAGCACTAATTCCAAGTATGGGTCACCATACTTGGCCACATGTCACGTCACTTTTTTTCCCACTTTATTGCTAGGGTACCTGGGGTGGCTGCTAGGCTGTTTCTAGCATGACTAGCATGTTGCTAGCATGTTTCTAAAATGGTTGGCATGTTGCTAGCATGATTAGCAAGTTAGTAGCATGTTGCTAGCATGATTCTAGCATGAGTAGCATGTTACTAGCATTTTGTTAGCACGATTAACAAGTTACTAGCATGTTTCTAACATGATTAGCATGGTACGAACATGTTGTTAGCATGATTAGCATGTTACTAACATGGTGTTAACATTTTGTTAACATGTTTAGCAAGTTACTAGCCTGTTTCTAGCATGATTAGCATGTTACTAGCATTTTGTTAACATAATTAACAAGTTACTATGTTGCTAGCATGATTCTAGCATGATTAGCATGTTACTAGCATGTTGTTAACATGATTAGCATGTTACTAGCATGGCGTTAACATTTTGTTAGCATGATCAGCAATATACTAGCATGTTTCTAGCATGATTAGCATGGTTCTCGCATGATTAGCATGTTACTAGCATGATGCTAGTATATATACATATATAAATATATATATTATTTAGATAATGCATCTGTTTTATCTTTAAAAAAATATTGCATGTTTTGCATTCTAAAAAGTTTAGGCCTCATTTTTCTTGGATATTGCATATTAAATCTGTTGTCAAATAATGTTTGTTCCGGTCACGATCAGCAGCTGGAGTGCCCTTGATGGCCACCAGAGGGCACTCCATCCCATACCTTTGCCACTCAGTCCTGGACTGCATTTCCCAGAAACCATTGCCTGGACTCATCATGCTGATTGTTTTCACAAAAAAAAGTAATGGGATACTAATTTGTACCCTATTTGTGGAAAGTTCTCATTAATATTCACAAACCTTTGGCCCATGATTTCTGCACGGTATACAATTAATACTGTTACAACACCCAAATCATTTTAAATGTGTGCCACAGAATGTAAAGTTTTGCTTTTTACTTATGATACCAGGTTTTCTAGAATAAAAAAAACAAATCAAGCCAATAAGGCCCATAGACAATATGATGTTACTTAACAGATCCTCATGCACTTTTTATAGTTTTTACAGTGTAATTGTTTTTTTTTTTAAAAAGCCAAACTTATAGTTCTGTCACCATACTCAACAATTAGCAGGTTTGATGAGACGGCCATGTGTTGAAATGCAACTTGTCAAACTCAGTTTCTGAAAAGCTTCCGTCTTGCATGAACTGCACAAAGAATTGCACTAAAAAAGGTTTTATGGATCATTTTAATTTCTAACAAATTCTGATCGTGACAGCATGTGATCTTTCAAAACAGAGAAGATTTCGCCTAGAAGATGATATTATCCTAAGTAAACAAAAGTCTAATTTCCTTTGATCATAAATTCAGTGAGATACAGTAACACCACACAGTTTTATGAGTTGAACAGTCATTGCGTCTGAACAATGACCTACATGTAAAATAATTAACCCATCTACAGCTACATTTCACTGAAACGAAACTGAACTGATTAAACCATATCATTGGACCCAAACACCCACTACAATATCTATAATTTTCCACCAGACAGACATTATAAGCACGTTCAGCTGAAATCATCATCACTGTAGAACATGCAGACTTATTATAAAGACTTAGGCATCCATATACATTCACGTCAATATCAATATTTAAGTCTAAATACTATTGATCAGTCAGGTCCAGCTTCTTTGATTTCCATTACTCCCAGATGCTGTGCCATATTTTGTAATGACCTAAATGAGCACAAGTCCCATTATATGAACCTATAACTTCATAACTAGAGGTAATGAATGGAAATTCAACCCCGAAAGGTTCACCTGACCAGACTAATTCAATTCTACGTGATTACTGTAATACTTAAAAAGTAGTGTTTGATCAGAAGTCTGGCCATTTCATCTCTCAGGGCCATAAAGAGTAAAGTTGGACAGATCCACAGTGCAAGCTGGTGTGAACAACAACACTTAGCACTAGATCTGACAGGCACTGGTGAATGCAAACGGTCTCTTGAATTTCAGTATCCAAAAACTCAAAGAGCAATCTCCGGCTGGCCAATGTCCGTGGTGATGTTGATGAAGAGTGGTGCTCTGTGGACAGACAGAATCTTGTAGGAACAGGAGTTCAAGCCATCAGTTTTCCACGCTTGATGAGTGCGGCGTAACAGATGCATCCTGTGTCGAAAGCAAAGCATTAAATACCACACTGAAAATACGCTTCTCTCCTGGAATCATTTACATTTTAGCACTAAAAAAGGTTTTATGGATCATTTTAATTTCTAACAAATTCTGATCGTGACAGCATGTGATCTTTCAAAACAGAGAAGATTTCGCCTAGAAGATGATATTATCCTAAGTAAACAAAAGTCTAATTTCCTTTGATCATAAATTCAGTGAGATACAGTAACACCACACAGTTTTATGAGTTGAACAGTCATTGCGTCTGAACAATGACCTACATGTAAAATAATTAACCCATCTACAGCTACATTTCACTGAAACGAAACTGAACTGATTAAACCATATCATTGGACCCAAACACCCACTACAATATCTATAATTTTCCACCAGACAGACATTATAAGCACGTTCAGCTGAAATCATCATCACTGTAGAACATGCAGACTTATTATAAAGACTTAGGCATCCATATACATTCACGTCAATATCAATATTTAAGTCTAAATACTATTGATCAGTCAGGTCCAGCTTCTTTGATTTCCATTACTCCCAGATGCTGTGCCATATTTTGTAATGACCTAAATGAGCACAAGTCCCATTATATGAACCTATAACTTCATAACTAGAGGTAATGAATGGAAATTCAACCCCGAAAGGTTCACCTGACCAGACTAATTCAATTCTACGTGATTACTGTAATACTTAAAAAGTAGTGTTTGATCAGAAGTCTGGCCATTTCATCTCTCAGGGCCATAAAGAGTAAAGTTGGACAGATCCACAGTGCAAGCTGGTGTGAACAACAACACTTAGCACTAGATCTGACAGGCACTGGTGAATGCAAACGGTCTCTTGAATTTCAGTATCCAAAAACTCAAAGAGCAATCTCCGGCTGGCCAATGTCCGTGGTGATGTTGATGAAGAGTGGTGCTCTGTGGACAGACAGAATCTTGTAGGAACAGGAGTTCAAGCCATCAGTTTTCCACGCTTGATGAGTGCGGCGTAACAGATGCATCCTGTGTCGAAAGCAAAGCATTAAATACCACACTGAAAATACGCTTCTCTCCTGGAATCATTTACATTTTAAGTATAGCATTATCATACTCTTGAGTTTTTAAGGAGTCGTGCATTCTACAATATCTCCACTTATAATTATGAAACAATTATGCCCACTGTTATGACTGAGTAACATCTTTGCATTTATACTTATACACATTGCACATGAGAAACTTAAAAAAAAAAAGTATGGATGATGACAAACTAGAAGAAAATGAACCCCTGAAACACTAAACTACATTTTTGGACAGGTGCTTGTGTTGCACATTTATAGAATATGTTAGTATCTGTCAATTTTAAACGGATTAAATTTGAGCGTCCCAATTTAAAATCTTCATTGCGTCAATGTCACAGAACGCAGCGTTTTCTCACACCGATGACTCCTCTGTTTCTCCTAATTATTCATAAGGCTGCATGTACTCATTCTATAAGAACACACTTCTCTTAATTATTCATGACAGCATGTGTTGATTTCCTGTGACAGACACGTACAGTACGTGAGAGACGTGAGTGTTTATTATTTTTTATTTTTTGCATAATTTCTCAACTACACACAACTGAGGCTCTGACACAAACGTGATTTTTTAAATGCATATTTTTGATGCAGAGTACAAATGCAAACGGCTGTGCATTTATTTCTGTTCAATACAGTTTTTCTCAATCGCTTTGGCTCAATTCTCAAATTAGTTTTTTTCTCAAAACAGTAATTCCAGATGTCTGAGCAATCAGTTTCTTATTAATTTAAACAGATTGCATGGAAAAGAGTACGTACAATTGTCTACAATTTGCACACCAACTAAATGCACATGGCTTGTTGATCAAATCTGATGAGTTGAATCTCACAATAACTACAGTAGGTTTTGAAGCATGGATTAAATGTTTTGGGTGAGTTACTACATTTTGCAGACATGCAATTCTGTCTGCAAAATGTAGTAACTCATGGATAAGCATTTGTGTATTTGTGTAATGTATGGTGAGCTTATAAAACCATGCATAATATGTTCATTTATGATGTGTGCAGTGGTGAATTGCAGCGTGCATTTGTGGGAGCTTCTGATGCTTTTAACTCAATCTGGTGGCATAGGAGCAGTAGTGTCACAACTTGCTTAAGTGTTGTGACATTACTGTCGGGTCCAATCATGCACAATGACTGGTTTCGAAAATAATCCACACGCTGAACAAACAATGCTCTACTGATGCGATTAGACACATAACTTTCAGCCACTATTTCCTAACATTCAGACGATAATGAAAGAGATTTCACAATCTCAGTCATCACCCACATACCAGCCGTCAAAGCAGCGATGGTGGAGAAGTAGTCTGATCGGTCACTGTGGATCTAGATTTATTCAACCATGTGATGTCATGTTGTCCAAGCAGATAAATGTTTTTTTCACCTTAGTCTCAATAAATGCTCTTTTTGTACTAAGGAGGGCAGGTGGGTCACAAATCACTCAAATTTGAATATTTCTCGTCCTAAAAACTTTAGTAATATTATAATTACACCTCGGGGAACATAATTAAATAAAAAAATAAAAACATGTCATGGCCCCTTTAAGGATCAATTCAACTATTAACTATGACTTTTGCCTCCTAATTTGCTGTTTATTAATAATTAATAAGGTAGTTGTTAAGTTTAAGTATGGGGTGGATTAAGGGATCTAAAATATACTCCTGCAGAATAAGACATTAATATGTGCTTTATATGTACTAATAAACAGCCAGTATGCTAATAACATGACTCTAGTGTTTCAATGTAAAGGATTTCCCTATGTCTGAAATATCCCTTTTCTGCTTCTTTTGTAATATTACTTCTTTACACTTAGGAATTCTTCTAGGAAGTGATGGAGTATCTGGTGGAAAAACAACACCACACTGTAAAGTTAAAAAATATGAAAATGAAGTAAGGTAAGCTTACTCCTAAACCTTTATGAGAAATTATAACTTTAGGTATAAAATCTAGGTAACCTATGTAAATAATTTAGTTATCATTGATACAGTGACTGAGTGACCCCACAATGTCCTATGCTTATGAAAAACAAACTGACTGGCATCAGAGTTAAAAATGAAAACCTAAAAAAGTCAAATAGAAATAGAACTGATAGAAATGCTAATTTCAGATGGCACTTAAGAGGCTTTTGCATCAGAACTCTTCATTAATATATTAGCATGATGATATTACTATGAAAGCTCATTAGATGTAATTTAACAATGCATGCTGTCAGAAATTGTTCCTCACGTTAGTTATGATCTCTTGGAAGACCAGAATAGCACTCTTAATACTCGTTCACACTTTAACTGACCTTTCTTCATTGATTTGATTGCCGCTGTCCCGATTGTGAAAGACCATGGTGTAGCGCGCCACTTCCAGGGATGGACGGATTATTGACATTTTCTGCAGCGTCACCCTGAAAAAGACGGTTCTGTTACAATCCTTAACAATGAGAAGAAAAAGACATGGTTCAATGTTCAGACATGGATGGTACCACATGCAGAAACTGAAATTCCCCTTCACTTAAAGGTGACATATCATGAAAATCTGACTTTTCCAGGTTTTAAGTGCTATAATCAGGTCCCCGGTGCATCTACCAACCAAGAAAACGTGAAAAAGATTAACCTTGTAACTTAGTTTTGGGAAGCCTTTTTCTGCAAGCGTCTGAAAAAACGAGCACGCCTGATTTCGCTCCCTTGGTGACGTGGCAAAGGGATCTCATTATAACCGCTTTCAGTCCGTGTGCGCTCAGAAAACCGTATATCAGAAGTTTAAAAGTTTTATGGTTTAAAACGCATGATTTCAGCACGATGATAATCAGAACCAAAACAGATGTTTTATAGCAGGTCCCAGCTGTAATGGCGCAGCTCTATTCTGTGGGGTATTTTGAGCTGAAACTTCACAGACACATTTTGGGGACACCAGAGACTTATACTACATATTGTAAAAAGGGGCATGATATGTCTCCTTTAAACACACATTCCCCTTTATGCGAAGAATAAATCGGCTTTGCATTTCTACATCTTTTTTTTTGATGTTTTAAAGGTTAAAAAACAGACAAAAACCATGATTTGCTTAGCCATTTTCACCTATAAGTGCCTGTGCACATCCTAAGCCACATCGTCCTGAGTTTCTCTCACCTTATTCTCAGGTCATCGTCCTCTCCACCCCAGCCCCAGTAGGAGTTTGGGAAGCCATTGACCTTGTGGAACTGCTCCTTCGTCATGGCCGAAACTCCCCCAAAGTAACCCTTGTATCGGAGTCTGGGAAGTCACGGACAGAAGAAGGTGATGAATGTCTTTCACATATTTAAAAAGAACTATAGTATATCATTTTACAAATAATTCAATGATGCGATTAAGGAATTACTTGGGGTACGTCATATTCAGTGTAGGATGTTTTAAAGGTTAAAAAACAGACAAAAAACATGATTTGCTTAGCCATTTTGTGAAGTCACCTATAAGTGCCTGTGCACATCCTAAGCCACATCGTCCTGAGTTTCTCTCACCTTATTCTCAGGTCATCGTCCTCTCCACCCCAGCCCCAGTAGGAGTTTGGGAAGCCATTGACCTTGTGGAACTGCTCCTTCGTCATGGCCGAAACTCCCCCAAAGTAACCCTTGTATCGGAGTCTGGGAAGTCACGGACAGAAGAAGGTGATGAATGTCTTTCACATATTTAAAAAGAACTATAGTATATCATTTTACAAATAATTCAATGATGCGATTAAGGAATTACTTGGGGTACGTCATATTCAGTGTAGCTGAATACCAATGGAGAATGTAGAAGCTACTGTAAAACGGTCGAAGGTACAAGCTGCTTAAAGAAGTTTATCTACTGCATTTTGCAAAACATACAAAGAGCATCTTCAAAATGCTTGATGCCATAAATCGAAAAAATTTTTTTTCACAAATACAGTGTGTGAATTGATTAATTTTATTTGTTACTGCTTTAATTTGATAATTAACTGAATCAAAGCTGCTTGTAATGGCATAAATCTGTATCAAATTACTTTGCATGTAAAATACTTTAAAGCCTGACTACACTGGCAAAAGACTACGATGTGACATTTTTGACAAAGACAGTTTATTTATTTAGCACAATAAATTACAACTTCCGTTGACCAATGTGCTTTCCAGAAAGTCATCAAAACAAAAAAACACAAAAACACACTAATAAGCAAACAGAAAATGTTTTAAATCATACAAATATCACATCAGCCATACGCCTTAAAGAATAAAAAAGTCTTTAGCCTGGACTTAAAAATACTCAAAAAGAAGCTTGTCTAATGAATAGTGGCAAGGCATTCCAAAGCCTGGGGGCAGCAACACAGAAAGCATAATCTCCCCTACATTTAAGCCTCGACTTAGGAGTAAACAATAGATCCTGGTTGGAAGACCGAAGGGATCTAGTGGGTTGATGCTCAGTCAATAACTCACAGAGATAAGTAGGGGCCAAACCATTTATTTTTATATATATATATATATATATATATATATATATATCTTTGGCAAATAAGCATCCCCGAAGTTCTACAATGCATCTGAACAATGCATTTCTTTTCATTGAATATTAAAAAGCTTAGTGAAAGCCAAGCCTTCACATCCGTCAAACATGCCATGAGAGACTTGAGACCCACGGAATTTTGTTTGAAAGGCAAATAAACCTGGGTGTCATCCACATAATAGTGAAATTACATATCATGTTTTCTAAAAATCGAGCCAAGAGGAAGCATGTAGAGAGAAAAGAGCAAAGGAGCCAAAATAGAACCCTGGGGAACCCCACAGGCCAAAAATGCATTACTTGAGTAATGTTCACCCATCTTGACTGAAAAACTCTCATTTGTAAAATACGATTTGAACCAATCTAAAGCTACACTTCTTAAACCAACGCAATGTTCTAAACGATCAATGAGAACAGTATGATCGACTCTATCGAAAGTGGCCGTCATGTCTAAGAGCACAAGAACTGCAAAATCACCTGAATCACATGATATTAAAATATCATTAAGAACCTTCAGAAGCGCAGTCTCAGTAGAATGACATTTACGAAAACCTTTACGAAAAGTAAAGAAAAGAAAACATTTACGAAAAGCCATAAAATCCATCAAAGGAGAAGGTAATATTTCATAATTGATCTGAAAAATTATTTTTAACCTGGTCGCTTGCCAGAGCTATGAAAGAGGCTGCACAAGAGATTCAACGCCTTGTTTATTTTTACTTGTTGAGCAAAATGAACGTTTTCAGAGGTGTAATGATACTTTTAAACTACTATACATATTACTGGATTTAATGTTTATTAAGGTGAATATTTGCTAGTCCTAATCATGCCTGATTTCAACAGTAGATTTGCTTTCTATTTGTTTTAATAAAGTACAAGCTGCGACTGTGCCAGACGTTACTCCGCGCAGAGAACATATCATCACATCAATGAATATTGCAATTTATTTAACCAATATAATCAACTAAACTCTAAAATCAAACTAAACCATATAGTATTCTCAGGTACGGAAATATACAGAAATTGAATAAACTGTAAATTAAAAACAGATAAATCCTTACATTTTTTTTTGTCTTTTGTTGTTTGATTAACATTAATGACAGACGGCACAGCTTTATTAGGCTGCTGTCCCTTTAAGACCGACTGCATTCATCTAATATACTGATACACAATGGTTTTCTTTCTCAACAACTGCTCACATTCAGACAAAACTGACTGGGTTTATGAGGATACTAGCCAAGATGGGCATTTTGACTTTTTTTTTTTTTTTTGAGTATTTGGCTGCTTAAGGTCAATGAGCTGCAAAAACGAACTCAATTTGGTACTCGTGAGGTTTGTGAGGCGGCTTTATGTGCGCGCGCTTTGGATGTGATTGTGAACGCGCAGAAAAGCATTGTGGAGCGCTCGACTACCGAATGGTTTAAAAAGACATAAAAAGATGCGCAGATGATAGTTTTGTGACGATGCACCAGTGACCCGACTAGGCAACTGACAGTTCTGTCAACTGGCCCGAAACCTGAGCGAAGGTCTCATATCGCAGCATGCAACAGCTCTTTTGTAGTGCAGGCGAAGATGTGCTGATGTGAAGCCGTTTTGGGAGGGAGACAGAGAGAAGATGAGGCACCGCTGAACAAAACAACACAAAAAAAGCTACAAATATTGCCACCAATTTTTTTTTAAAGTTGCAGCAATTGCAGACATTTGGCTGCAAAAATCAGAAAAATGTCCACTGAAATGTTTTTGTGAAGAAACGTGCCAAAGACCTTTGCATAGTATTGTAGATAAAAACCCGTCTCATGTGTACAGAACTAAACGGAACAACTATTGCTACTGCAGAGATGTCACTCTTTTGGACATTGACAGCTCATCACAAAAACAGAGGTAGAAATGTTAACACTAGTCTGTCTCTCTGTGTAGTGGTTTGCTATTTAAAATGCAAAACATCTAAACCACGAATCACACTACTGAAAAATGTAGATAAACTATTAGTGTCACTGCTGTGAGCTACTCCTGACACTTCTGCTGCTTTAGTATTTTAGAGAGAAACGGTCCTGCTAATCGATCTCAGTGTTGTCCGTCTAACCCAGATCTTGCGAGTTTAAATGTCAAGAACGCTCTGCATGGGAATGTGTTTGTTAAATGAAGGAGACAGCATCACTCACTTGTACCCAGTGGAATTCCTCCCCACTACTAAGTGCTTAGGCTGATCCTCACACATGTATAAATTATGATCGTTCTCAGGAACTAGATCAGCATCATGGAAGATGAAACAGTCCCAGCTCTGGTCTTTCAGAGCCTCGAGGTAGCCCACATTTAATAACTTTGCCCTGTTAAATGTAGCATCTCCAGCCTACAAGACAAACAGACACATATATTATACACACATCGTTTATCAATGCTTGCGGATCGTGATTTCCTATAGATCACCAGGTGCTTTCCAATACTCTCCTTTCATGACTTAAAAAATACAAAGAGTCTAAGAAATTATTTGAATGAATTACTTCTTTAGGTGTATACTGCCTCAACAGTTTTTACTGACAGAACTTAAACACTACAACACTCTTTCTTGACACGAGAAGAAAAGCATGCACACCTTTCATTACTCAAGAGTTTCAGCGTCTATCATTTTTACTTTACCTAACCACTCAAAATGAAAACTGTACAACTTAAATTATTCATATCACCAACATCAGCTGGTGGCACTTATCTCTACTGTTGTTAAAGATGTCATAAGAAAAAAACACTAAACTTCAAAAACAGAAAACTGCCCATAATTAATGCCCACAGGAGTCAGAAACTTGGCTTGCTCAGTCACTGTAATAATGAGAAGGAAGTAACACACTATTGTTGAAGACAACAATAGTTTCATTCAGGTTTTGTGTATATGAACAAAAAGATAGTCTTTCCAAATGTTAGGAAAGAGAGTTTAAGGTCACTTTATTTTAAGGTCCAATTCTCGCTATTAACAAACCATTAACTACAACTTTTGCCTAAGTTTAGGTATTGGGTAGGATTAGCGATGTAGAATATGATCATGCAGAATATGTGCTTTATAAGTACTAATAAACAGCCAATATGTTAATAATCTGCATGCTAATAAGCAACTAGTTAATAGTGAGAAATGGTCCCTATACTAAAGTGTTACCAAGTTAAATATTTGCAATCATATGCGACCCTGCAGCACAGTGTTAAGTCACTGGGGTATATTTGTAGCATTAGCCAACAATACATTGCATGGGTCAAAATTATAGATTTTTCTTTTATGCCAAAAATCATTAGGATATTAAGTAAAGATCATGTTCCATGAAGATATTTAGTACATTTCCTACTGTAAATATATCAAAACTTAATGTTTGATTAGTAATATGCATTGCTAAGAACTTCATTTGAACAACTTTAAAGATGATTTTCTCAATATTTAGATTTTTTTGCACCCTCAGATTCCAGATTTTCAAATAGTTGTATTTCGGCCAACAAACCATACATCAATGGAAAGATTATTTATTCAGCTTTCAGATGATGCATGAAAAATTGACCCTTATGCTCCAGGGTCACATTTCAGGTTGGTCTTACTAGTTTTTGCAGAATAGACTGTTCGGTGAACGAGTAACAATGTATCGCAGGCTTTGCAAACATGCTGTTGTTTAAGGATGGGGCAGTGCAAGCTATAATGGACCCTGGAGCAAAGCCGTAAGTAAACATTGTTACGCATTGAAGAGGGCGTCAATGCTATAGAACCAATAAAGGTCCCTTTTAACGTCAGAGAAAGTAGGATATGCTCATTAAAAAAAAGAACATTATGTTTGTTGTCCAAGAAACCTTTACTGACTTAAAAATGAACACTGAATGCTCTAAAAATGGCATCAAATTCTAGCAACGAGGATCCTGTGTCTACAGAATCTACCTGGTGAATGATGTAGATGGCGTAGTGAAGCTGCTGCCTCTGTAAGAACGGGTGGAGGTGGTGGAGGAGGTAGAGCAGGTGCTTCTCTCTGTTTCTGTGAGGGATAAGGATGGCCACGCTCTGTCTGGCCTCACAGTCAGAGGGGTTATACTGACCCTCCACCACCTCCCCGTTGTCACTCTCTACCTGCTCTATCGTTAGCGAGGGATCAAATGACAGCTTGATAGCGCCTCCTGTGGAGAAGAACAATCAGAAATCAATAAACACACATGGACACAGGCCCACAAGTCAGTGAAAGGCCCACGGACCAGGTGCAGCCCTTCAATACAGCACCAGCTGGGGCCCACATTAATTACAGGGCCCCATCTTTGGAAACGAGCCTGAATTAGCAAGCAGCTGTGGAAGGAAAAAACAGTGATGTGTAAACATTGACATTCACATAGAGGTGGTTCCCACATCTTTCTCTGCGCTGCAGCTCCATGGTTCAGATCTTTATCCGTTATTAACAGCTCAAAGGTTTAAAAGTTATTGATATGTTTAAAAGTAAAATAAATTGTGTGACTTTCACCTAAATTTAAACCTATTGTATGAAATGCTATATGTGACCCTGGAGCACAAAACCAGTATTTGTAGCAATAGCCAACAATACATTGTATGGGTCAAAATTATCGATTTTTCTTTTATGCCAAAAATCATTAGGATATTAAGTAAAGATCATGTTCCATGAAGATATTTTGTAAATGTCCTACCGTAAATATATCAAAACTTCATTTTTGATTAGTAATATGCATTGCTAAGAACTTCATTTGAACAACTTTAAAGATGATTTTCTCAATATTTAGATTTTTTTGCACCCTCAGATTCCAGATTTTCAAATATTGTCCGATCCTAACAAACCATACATCAATGGAAATATTATTTATTCAGCTTTCAGATAAATCTCAATTTCTAACAATTGACACTTAAGATTTGTGGTCCAGGGTCACATATCGTAATTATATCCACATTTGCATGCTGTCTATAGTAAAAACTATCAATTAAGCAAATGAATATGCATAAATCTTCCCTGCTGCTACATCACTTTCAAATGATATAAAACTGGTATGCTTGCATGGCGATAGCATTCTCCTTCAAATGTTTTGCCCCGTGTGACGTCTATTTTTATATTGTATGTTTATACTATTTGTCGCCACACATTTACACACTTATTGATTTATTTTATTTTTTTCCATTATTTTAGTTTGTTTGCACACTTGAATTGTATGAAATGCTATATGTGACCCTGGAGCACAAAACCAGTATTTGTAGCAATAGCCAACAATACATTGTATGGGTCAAAATTATCGATTTTTCTTTTATGCCAAAAATCATTAGGATATTAAGTAAAGATCATGTTCCATGAAGATATTTTGTAAATGTCCTACCGTAAATATATCAAAACTTCATTTTTGATTAGTAATATGCATTGCTAAGAACTTCATTTGAACAACTTTAAAGATGATTTTCTCAATATTTAGATTTTTTTGCACCCTCAGATTCCAGATTTTCAAATATTGTCCGATCCTAACAAACCATACATCAATGGAAAGATTATTTATTCAGCTTTCAGATAAATCTCAATTTCTAACAATTGACACTTAAGACACTTAAGATTTGTGGTCCAGGGTCACATATCGTAATTATATCCACATTTGCATGCTGTCTATAGTAAAAACTATCAATTAAGCAAATGAATATGCATAAATCTTCCCTGCTGCTACATCACTTTCAAATGATATAAAACTGGTATGCTTGCATGGCGATAGCATTCTCCTTCAAATGTTTTGCCCCGTGTGACGTCTATTTTTATATTGTATGTTTATACTATTTGTCGCCACACATTTACACACTTATTGATTTATTTTATTTTTTTCCATTATTTTAGTTTGTTTGCACACTTGAATTATCAGCAACTTACAGTAAATATATAGTAGATTCTTAGGTAACACCATTCACTAATTTATCAACTAGTTGCTTATTACCATGCATTTTACTAGCATATTGGCTGTTTATTAGTACTTACAAAGCACTAATTATTCTGCATGACCATATTCTAGATCCCATACATAAACATAACTACTGCAACAACTGACTTACTTACTATTAATAAGCAGCGAATTATGAGTTTATTGATTTCCCTAATCTAAAGTGTTACTGATTATTAAATAGATTAATGATCAAATAGATATATGGAAGTCTGAAGGTGTATAATTTTGTAATAAAACATCTGTTAATCTGCAAATCAATACATGCTCATGTCTTCATCTGCTAATCTTCCTTATTGTAGGATGAGTATATTAAATTGCAAATTTCAAAGTAAAAGTGCTTTTAATACTTACATACTGTACATTAAAAATCAAGTACTTTTGTTGTTTCACAAGGTCATTTTTGATCATGAACAGTACATGTGTGACCTTTTAAAGACCATTTAGCCTTTTTGAATCATGTCCACTATTTTTATTTTTATTAGCAGCTACCACAAAAGTCACCATGTTTTGTACTATTCTGATAAAAGTAAAAAAGAAAAGAAAAATTATAATAATAATAATTTTTTAATCTAAAATGACTGGTGCAATATTTTAGGGTATCTGTACTTGATTTGTCTATTTCATTCAGTGCTCATTGAGTGAGCAGATGGTGATTTATGCTGCCGAGTTCCAAAAAGGAACAAAAATGCACAACAAAAGTACCATATAAAGTAGTCCATAAGACTATAATCTAAGTCTTCACATCACAATTTAAGTCATAATTCTATGATAATCTTCCCCTTTTATTGGCCTCTCAAATCCCATTTGTGTTTTAAAAAATTATTGTCCGACTGCCATGTGGCACATTTAAAAACATGAACTTTTGGTCTATTATATGACTCGTGTAACAGAGAACAAGTTATACTTTGCATTATAAATCATAATGCATTTATCCCTGGATAGATAACAGCGGCTGGAACGTTGTGCCTTTTGCATTTTATACTCTCAGTAATAAAGGTACAAAAGCTGTCGCTGGGGTGGTACCTTCTCAAAAGCTACCTAAAGGGTCCGTATTGGTACCTTAAAGGTACATTTTAGTAGCTAAAAAGTGCACCTTTTGAAAAAGCACCACCCCAGTGACAGCGTTTGCACCTTTATTTCTGAGAGCGTCCAGAAGAAAAACAAACAATACAGGGTTGAAATGACACGAGGATGACTTGACCATAACGGAGTTTGAGGGGAACATTTATTTTACAGCTAATGTTGACCATTCCCTGTACTTGAAGCATTACGTTTGGTCATGGTTAAGCCATAAAAAGATGAACTCAGACAACACTCACGGAGCAGGGGTGAATGCTCTGGACAGCTCTTTCTGACAGACTGCTGCTCCTCTAAGCTCTGCATCATCTCTGATTCCAGCTCCAGCTGAGCAAAGCCCTCGACACTCCTGTCGTCAAGAGGATTCGATCCCTCCTGGACAGACTTAACTGTGTCATCATTTGAGAATGTTGCTATCCATGCTACAACGCACAGACACAACAGCAGAAGAAACAGACCCTTCCCCTTCCTCATGATCTTGGATATGGATGGAAAGAGGCCCATGACTGAAGTTTAGTTTGAGGTGAAATCCAGAGAACAGCAAGCAAGACACATCTGAGCATCTGCTCGAAGATAAACAGTCACTCCTAAAGCTGACAAGAGCTCCTCCAAAAGTTTCTTTCATTTGTTTTTTCGCTCATTTTTTCATCTGAAGAGGAACAGTTCTTCAGTCGAAGTAACGTGTGAGAAGTCTTTTACGAAAAAGCTGAAACACAAAAAAGAACATTTGTATGAGGTTCTAACTTTTTTCTTAACCACGTATTAATTGAGAGAGTACATGGATTGTTGGTATTTTGAAGTGAACAGCAAAAATGCTAAATGTGACCCTGGAGCACAAAAGAAGTCGCTGGGGTATATTTGTATCAATAGCCAAAAAGACATTGTATGTGTCAAAATTATCGATTTTTCTTTTATGACAAAAATCACAAAAAAAGATATTAAGTAAAGATCATGTTCCATGAAGATATTTTGTAAATTTCCTACCGTAAATATATCAAAAATTTATTATCATTAGTAATATGCATTGCAAAGGACTTAATTTGGACAACTTTAAAGGCGATTTTCGCAATATTTTGATTTTTTAAAAAAATTTTCACCCTCAGATTCCAGATTTTCAAATAATCGTATCTCAGCCAAATATTATTATATCTAGAGCCCGACCGATATATCGTTTTGCCGATATTATCGGCCGATATGATCCTGTAGCCGATATATCGGTATGGGCGAATATGCCGCCGATATGACATTTTTTTTACAAAGGACTTAATTTGGACAACTTTAAAGGCGATTTTCGCAATATTTTGATTTAAAAAAAAAAATTTCACCCTCAGATTCCAGATTTTCAAATAATCGTATCTCAGCCAAATATTATTATATCTAGAGCCCGACCGATATATCGTTTTGCCGATATTATCGGCCGATATGATCCTGTAGCCGATATATCGGTATGGGCGAATATGCCGCCGATATGACATTTTTTTTACATAACATATAACGCAGATAAAATGCTTGAAATGGTGTAATTACTTAGTTTGTCCAGCAGAGCGTGCTCCATTGTTTGCTACTGGTGACCTGGATGAAACGCTTTAAAGCTTAAGTCTATGGAATTGTTGGTATTTTGAAGTGAACAGCAAAAATGCTAAATGTGACCCTGGAGCACAAAAGAAGTCGCTGGGGTATATTTGTATCAATAGCCAAAAAGACATTGTATGTGTCAAAATTATCGATTTTTCTTTTATGACAAAAATCACAAAAAAAGATATTAAGTAAAGATCATGTTCCATGAAGATATTTTGTAAATTTCCTACCGTAAATATATCAAAAATTTATTATCATTAGTAATATGCATTGCAAAGGACTTAATTTGGACAACTTTAAAGGCGATTTTCGCAATATTTTGATTTTTTAAAAAAATTTTCACCCTCAGATTCCAGATTTTCAAATAATCGTATCTCAGCCAAATATTATTATATCTAGAGCCCGACCGATATATCGTTTTGCCGATATTATCGGCCGATATGATCCTGTAGCCGATATATCGGTATCGGCGAATATGCCGCCGATATGACATTTTTTTTTACATAACATATAGCGCAGATAAAATGCTTGAAATGGTGTAATTACTTAGTTTGTCCAGCAGAGCGTGCTCCATTGTTTGCTACTGGTGACCTGGATGAAACGCTTTAAAGCTTAAGTCTATGGAAAACCATTGAAACTTTGAATGGCCATATCTCCGTAACGGTGTGGCGAATCCGCACCAAATTCGGAAGATTCCTTCAGCTTGAGGAATCCTCTCAAATGCGAATCGAGTGTACATCTAGAGGCCCGCATTAGACCACCCCCGCGTCGATAGCTTATATTGTATTTATTTACAGAGATATATTATGTCACGTATTATGTTTCGTCTGTGTGTGAAGACAGTAGCGCAAATCCGTGAATGAATATTCCAAAGTGAAATAATCTTCAATGGAATAAATTGAACTGAATTAAATTAAAGTTGAATACACTTCAACTTTACTGTTCAGTGCACTGATGTCAGACTCATTTTGGATAATAAAGTTTATTGTTAAATTGTTAAATGCCCTGCCTCCATCATTACGTATCTCTGTCACGTCATTATAAGTGTTTGATCACCACATTTGAGTGATCATTGCAAAAAATGTGTATATATATATATATATATATATATATTCTGTTTGACGAATGGGAATGTCCAAACTTTTGACTGGTACTGTACTATAATATACACAAAGAATATCGGCCGATATATCGATATCGGCCTTTTTTTACTCCCTAATATCGGTATCGACCCCAAAAAACCCATATCGGTCGGGCTCTGATTATATCCTAACAAACCATTCATCAATGGAAAGCAAAGCTTATTTATTCAGCTTTCAGGTGATGTATAACTCTCAATTAAAAAAGAAAATCGACCCTTATGTCTGGTCTAAGGGTCACAAATAATTGTTAAAAACCACAGGAACTGACTAAATGTAATCATAGCACAATTAATACAATTTATAATTGCGATTACAATTACCGATCATTCAAAGCGGCAATTAATCGTCCACTAATGTTATTCTGCATGCTTAAGATGTGTTTTTTTTCTTTCTACAGCTTATCTTAAGTGTTTTTCCATTGTTTTAATTTTAGTATAACATTATAATACCATGCATATTTGTACTTTTTTATTTAAATAAGAAACCGATCCAATGTATAGTTGACATCTGAGGTTTAATGCTACAGAAAAGCAATACAACTTTTTCAGTTAGAGTGTTTTCAGCTTGTTTATTTTCATATAAAAATATGGCATGCCGTTGCTTCAGACAATGGTATAAACACCCTGCAATGTAAATCGCAATTAATAATCACAAATACAATTTCAAGGGAATAATCGACATTTATGATTTTTGTCATAATCATGCAATAGTCATAGCATAGCAAATGCACATATTCCATGCAATAGTACAAATGGAAGTATAAATACCAAAGTGAGAAAAAAGTTTAGCTTCTTCCAAACACACTTTGTCTGTATCACAGCTCTTCACGAGGCGCACTAGGAACGCTTCGTAATCACAATACACATATATTTTATCATTAAAATCATAACATATGTGCTTACAGGCCAGTGTAACCTGTTAGTCACATTCCTCCTCACTCAGCCTGTCACCTCTACGCCCTCCTCTCGTGTTTCATGTTGACACTTCACCGCTTTGAGTCTGTTGTGTGCATTTCATCATTTGTTCTCTTTGTTACAGGACCTTCGCCTGTCCTTGCCACGTCAAAGAACACATAACGTTTTTGTTTTCAGCCAGTGATTGTAAATGTGCTGCTGAAGGTCCTGTACTCGACATATCTTTAATCAGTCACTGTTCGTTTGCTTTGTTTTACTATAGTCGAAATAAATAACATTGTATATCACCCCTGGGTCTGTGGTGTAAGAAAATAAATGCTATAATGTCTCCAGGGACCCTTGTGTAGAGGTCATTATATTTGAGTGATTCCTCTGAGACCCTTCACGCCACAGTTTTAGTCTGGATGTCCTGTTCAGAGCACTTTTTTAGGAGGTTTGATCATAAACACTCCCTCTCTTTGGTCATTAAATATGAGTGATATTGACAGAACGCTCAGATTTAGCACTCTTAGGGAAACGTGATAATGTTTTGTAATTATCATTTAAATCTGGATCATTTTCAAATTGTTTGGGAATATGACTTTTTGTTAGGAAACAGGGCATAATTTTCATACTTGTCTTCTGTAGAGGACACCAGGACAAACGGCTGTTAATCAGTTAATTTTGAGGAAACACAACAAGAAATTATAGATCAGTATTCCTAAGAAATATGAGATATTCTTATGAAAATGTTGCCACGTTATTATTACTCCCATTATTGCACTTCTTTTTTCCATTATGGTTTACCCACAAGAACACACAAATTAGATGCAGTGTATAGATACATTGAATAAAATGGGAATATCAATTTATGGAGATTTTACACACATATTCCATGAAATAAAATAGTATATCAGGTCATTCTGTTATATCTTTGTACAAAGTTTGGATTAAAAAGCCTGAAAGCTAAAAACTGATTGGTGCATGACAAAAAAAAAAAAAAAAATCATTGCCTATACATGCCTTTTCATGTCTATTTATTTATTTATTTTTGAATAACTCTTTATACAAAAACCCCAAGAAGGACAGAATAAAATATCTATTTTCTAAATGTTTTTTTTCTCCACTTGTTTCTTATGATCCGACCAAAGCAATGACATTAAAAGAAAAATTCACAAAACCTTTTTTTCTGCTTCTCATGAGATTAATGAAAAATGTAATTTGATATCGGTTCATCATGCCTTAAAATTAGCATTAAGTCAAGTGCTTCCTCGCGACGTCTTGAGATCATGTTTAAAATATCGTTTAATAATAATTAATCGTTTCAAATGAACAGACATTTCGGAAGAGTGGTTTGCGCCAAACAATGCCCATTTCTGATTTCTTAAGCACAGCTTTAAGCACGTTCAGAGCGAAGACTACACTGTATTGGATTTGAATGGTTAGAGTTTGACAGTGAATGATACAAAACAGCTAAACTAGCGATTGAACTCACCGCCCTCGCGCTGGCCTGCTGTGCGAAGCTGCGCACTTCTTAGCTGGTGTTTCACGAGGAGAACACAGGCATACTGGGGAAGAATAAAGTAGAAAGTAAACAGAGGTTAACTCGATTTACGGCTGTGAAAGCAGACGCACTCTCAGCTCAATCCAGCAGCGCACAACCCCAGCATTTCCGCAAATACAGAGCGCAGGCTCTCAGTCATCTCTCAGCACCTGCCGGCGGATGCAGCAACTGCACCTGACTGTCTGCTGCATGCTTTATTTGAACACAATCATTACAAATAACATCAATAGCGAGAAAAAAGGAAAACATGAACAACCAACAGGCTACCATAGCTCAAAACAGAGCTTATTATAGCCTAATAATAGAAGAGGGCAGTATACAGAATGATAAAAATGAAGCATTAAATGCAGAAGAAAATGTGTAGGCCATGCAAATTGTACAGGTTCTAAACGCTTTCTTGTACAAATACTATAAACATAGGTTTACAATCTGAAAATGTACATTTGTGAATATAGAATTTACAGAAGAAGATAATTAGGTTTCTTGCAAAACAGGCATTGCATGGGATCTGCTTCAAAAAATCCCAAAATGACAGATTTGGGATCCACCGAAAAATCTAGCAGGCTGCTCGAGATAAACCAACTAAGATCTTTCCAGAGCTGAGAAGTATAACTGCATCACCAAAACAAACGAAGAAGGGTCTCAGTGTCATTCTGACAAAAGGAGCATTCTCTGATACAAATGTTTTCGTCAGAAAATTTGGGGAGTAATTTAAAAGATATTTATTTTGCTGCATGGACCTTTTTTTTTTGTCCAATTTAAATGATCAAAAAGGCTGTTCTGTGAAACTGCAGGAGGGGCAGAGACAATGCTCTCAATGAATAGGGCTCCTGTTTTATAGTTTCCACCTTTTTTAACAGTGAAACATCTCTCACCAATAGACCCACACTGCCCACCGCTTGTCTACTACTTACATCTTTTGTGTATTTGGTCCAAGTGTTGAAGTGGGCATGAAGACCACAAGTGTGTGCCGAACTTTCCATTAGCCTACCCGATGGGACACACTTCTAAAAAAAGTGTTTACACTTTACCTTAATTTTCCTAAAAAGTCCCCAAACAGACAACACAGTTTAATTATTGTGGTGCTTCTAAGTGATACAAAGCAGTTGCAAACGTTTCACAAAATATGTTGTACTGCCAAATTATATGTAATATCTAATTTTAACGTACACCAGAAAGGTTTCCGTAAGATCTCGGCAAAAAGTCTCACGATTTATTTACAGAACATGATGCATGATGGGATAAACTTAAGACTCGAATACCGCTCCAAAGCAGTTAGTGTGCATTTAGTAGATGCCACTAAAACTATATATCAACACATGCATTGAATGGTTTGTGAGATGTATATAAAACATACATCTGTTTTTTGTACACTTTCTCTTTTGCAAAGTAGTAATTTTTCATTCCTTGCGCTCCAGTATAATGCTTGTTGAACTTGTGCTAATCAGATAACATCAGACTGAGTAACAACAAAGTTATTCGCTCATTTTACCACCACTTTGTTTCCTGCTTGAAAGAAGAATTTACTTTCTGTTGACTAGAATTCGGATAGCAAGACCAAAATTGTGGCACAGGCAAGATGGTCCAGTAAAACGCAATCATCTCTCTATATGTAACAATTTAGTAACAAATGAACTATTGCGTTATATCATATATTATATAAATGGTTTTGTTTTGATATGAAAATGGAACCTATTATCTCTCTGTGGCTACAATTGTGAATTGTTGTCCAATCAGAAACATCCATTATGATGTCATGGTTTACACCTGTTAGTAATTATTAATTATATTTATGTTTATTCTCCTCTGGGATCTAAATGCACCTTGAAAAAGGCAGATATTTACTCTTTAAAAAACACCAAAAATATTGACAAAGTACGTACGTGTTGTACGTAAAAGTGAGTGTTGAAAACCGTTTCTACTCAAATTCACAACGGTAAGCTTGTAATGATTATTTATAGTTTAGGTGTTGCATCAGACTTAGTGAGAACTGTCCGTTTAACGTCACTCCGTCTTTGCACGACTTACATTACTTCCAGTGAGAAGAAGGTCCAGCTATTACAACAGGGCTGTGCTATTCTGACAGCTATAATGCAGCAATGTGTAGAGCTTGTAAGCATGCAAGATTGTTGAGCAAGAAAAAGGTCGTCTCTGAGTCAGATACAAGGTGTGTTATAGGCTCCGTCACTTTCCTTTTTTGCTTGCAAGCTTGTCTCTGAACTATTAGAACTATTACCAAGGCACTAGAGATCACAGTAGACATAAATCGGGTGTTTTTGTTTTATTTATCCACTTCTGTGTTACATATAAGGCATTCAGCAAGATGCCTAAAACAGAGTGACATAAAAAGTGTCTATGAAAGAATGCAGTGGTACACAATTGGATTGTATGCAAATTACACTTTTGTGTCGGTGAGTTATGGTGGGTCTAAGTTTTGTTGACAGAGATCAGTCCGGGCCTGAAGACTGGGAGGATTCTTTGGAGAAAATGACGGATACAGCTATTGCGATACCACCACGGAGTACAAAAACAACCACATCCTTAAACCAAAATCACAGTGGAAACCAGTTTGTGTGCACTCATTTGACCGAGTTCTTTCTAGCTTCCTCAAAGCTTATGGAGAGACTGACTGTTCCGCTTCCAAAGCTCACCCTTGGTTTCTGACTATGTCTCCGCGTAGAGGGGAACTCAATTTCATTGCCGTTGGTCTTCAGGCTGATTGACGAAGAGGGCGAGGAGGCAGAGGACCCACCCACACTGCTTGACCTCTTTCTGGAGGCAGAACTGTGTCGCAGTGTCGCTTTCGCTGCTGCTTTGAAAGCATGAGCTGCTGTGCTACAACGAACCTCCTCAATCGTGTTCCTGGATGGTTTCAGGAGGATGATGTAGACCTTGTTGAAAAAGATACAGGCTAGCAGACTGAAGCTGGAAGCCAGAATGGCAATGACCTCGACCGCCGAGACAAATTTGCCATACGTGCTGAAGTATGCGGGGATGAAGGAGATCCAAACAATGAAAAAAATGAGCATGCTAAATGTGATGAACTTGGCCTCCGTGAAGTTTTCGGGAAGTTTCCGAGACTTGAATGCAAAGAAGAAACAAACGGCTGCCAGCAGGCATGTATAACCGATCAGGAATCCCAACGCCATCATGGAGCCCTCGTTGCAGGTGATAAAGATAATCTCATCGATGTCATAGTTCTTGTAACTCCCTGGTGGAGCATTGTACAACCAAACCACGCAGATCATCACCTGCACAAACGTGAACAGGAACACCAGTAAGAACTGCAGGTTCAATCCCCACCATTTACGGTGGAGGCTGGTGGGGATTTTGGCTTCGAACACCAGTAGGACACGATTGGTTTTAACTAGAATGCAAGAGATGCACAACACAAAGCTGATTCCAAAAGCTGGTTGCCGTACACGGCACGTCCAGTCCTGTGGCTCGCCTATGAATATAAGAGAGCTGGAGAAACAACAGATGAGTGAGAAAAGCAGAAGAAACGACAGCTCTCGGTTCGACGCCTTCACAATCGGAGTATCGCGGAATTGCACAAAAACACCCAACACGAAAGCTGTTAACAGAACCCCGAGAACTGCAAGTAAGGCCAAAGCGATCCCAAACGGTTCAGTCCAGGACAGAAACTCGATCTCCTTCAGAAAGCAGGACGTGTGATTGCCGTTAGACCAGGAGTTGTTTGGGCATTTAGAGCAAACACTGGCATCTGTGGAGAAAAGAAAAGAAACAGGAAATAATATTACAAAAGCACTCAATTGTACAATACGTACTCAAATCTTAACATTAGTCAATGCTTCTGTTTACGTCCCTTCGATGTTGGATAGATAGACTAGGGGTAAACGGGAGTATAACATTAAGGAAATTGTGTGTGTGTGTGTGTGTGTGTGTAGGAATGGCAGCAAAAGAGAAGGATATAGACAGTGCTCTTGAATCTATTTGAAAGGTTTTTCAATGAGGAAGATTAATTCAAAGATTTAAAAATGAGCAATATAGTCTTTACATTAATTAACTCTTTCCCCGCCATTGTTGTTATTTTTATTTTATTTTAATTAAAGTTGCCAGTCACTACAAGCAGGGCTGCACGATTATGACAAAAATCATAAATGTCGATTATTCCCTTGAAATTGTAATTGCGATTATTACACATCATATAATCACAATTTATATTGAATGATGTTTATACCATAGTTTGAAGCAACCGCATGCCATAATTTGATATAAAAATAAACAAGCTGAAAACACACTAACTGGAAAACTTGTATTGCTTTTCTATAGCATTAAGCCTCAAATCTGAACTATACACTGGATTGGTTTCTTCTTTAAATAAAAAAAGTAAAAATATGCATGGTATTATAATGTTACACTAAAATTTAAATAATGTAAAAACCCTTAAGATAAGCTGTAGAAGGAAACAAACACATCTTAAACACGCAGAATAACATAAGTGGACTTTGAACGATTAATTGTGGCATCCGTAATTGTAATAGTGATTAGAAATTTGAGTAATTGTGCTGCCCTAGTAACTGCCAGCACTTTTATATTTTGTTGTATGAATATCTTAACATGCAAAATTGACTAAGAATAAAAGGTGCTGTACAACAGGGGTAGCCTACCCTCATCCAGGAGAGCCACCTTGCTGCAGACTTAAAAGTATTTTTTTCTAGTAATCCTGAACACCTTGATTAGCTGGTAACCATTCACCATTAGGATGGTAACCATTCAGGCGCAGGCTTGGCTACCCCTGCTCTAACCCAAGGGTAGGTAACCCAAAATATCAACCTTTGTGCGTCTACCTTTGAAGCAAGCATAACGTTCAACTTGGATCACATATGCCATTATAGCAGGAGTGTCCAAACCTTTCCCTAAAGGGCCACTGTCCCACAGAGTTTAGCTCCAACCATTATTAAACACACCTGAAGCAGCTAATCAAGGTCCTCAGACTCACTAGAAATGTCCAGGCAGGTGTGTTGGAGCTGGATTGCATTATAGCCTTGACATCACTGAACTGCTGTTAGAGTTGTACAATAGGATACCACAGAAATGAAGGAGAAGTGCAGTAAGTGTAACCTGCTTAATTAGGACTAGAGATAAACTCTGCTTGAAGGTGGTGCTCCAGGAGCAGGATTGGACTCCTCT